TCGAGATTCGCTCGAGATCTTGGCTGACTCGCGCGAAACCCGTCGACGAATGTTGCCAGCTGAGAAGTACCTGGCCGTTTTATCGCTGGTCGCCGAACGAACGCTTCGTTTGTGGATCGCGATGGAAAATAATAGAGACTAGTAGGTGGATCGGTGCAGCGGCAGTCGGGGTATGTTTGTGGAAAGTTTTAAAGTGGTCGCGTCCAACAGGCGGTCGATTGGTCGTTCGCCAAAAATATGAATGGTTGCATCGAGGCAAAGTTTTGTTCTGCTAATTAAGCGAGAAAACGATCGGACCGATTCGCCTGACCGATGGACCAGATTTCTCAATCATCGAAGCTTTCGATACAATCCGTGGACAAAAGTTGCGCGCATAATCGGGCAGGGTAAGATTGTTTTTCTTCGCGTACCTTGCTGCGTTGCAAAAAAATACGATACTCGAAAGAGTCAGAGAAATTCTGGTCGTTTCATGGAAAATTCAACAGGCGGTTCTCGTTGGCCTTCGGCCAGAGCACGCTCGTTGCGTTGCCGAACGTGCTTTTTTAGATTCTACGATGACAAAATTCGTCGGACGTAACGAATAATCGTACCGTCCGAATTGCAGTCTCTTTGGTTCGACGGAAAAGGTTCACGAGTCGGGAAAGAAGCGGATAGAATCCGATGGCAATTGGCCGAATCCGTGTCCAGCTCGAATGGAGAACGCTCCGCGTAATCTGATATGTATTCACATACGTAGCGTCGCGGAGCGTCGCGTCGCGTCGTCGCTCCGATCGATCAGCTCGACAGGATTCCCGTGAATTTCAAAGGAATGACCAGGATTGCGGGTATCCGTGTACCGATATCCGTTTCGATCCGATCCGCAATCCCGGTTGAGCGACCGTCCGAATGCGAACGGAACGCAGACGTAGCATTACATACACTCGCTATAAAACTGCTCTTTCTTGGGATCTCGTTAAGGGTTGTGGGAACAAGGGTGATCGACTGCGGCCGCAAACATCCTGACTGACCCTCGTTCCTCTCCTATTTTTCACCGATTCCTCCGCGATATCGACTTTGTACCAAAGTAGACACGATGAATTACACAATGAGAGAGGACAGAATCCGTTGCCGTATCGATAGAGGTCGAGTTACGCAAACGCGAGAACGATCGAGAGTCGGATCGAACGGTACAAGAGGAACAGTTGAACGGAGGCGAGGAAAGTAAAAGGTGTTCATCAAAGTGACGAAGAAAAAGAGAAACGCGCTGAGTAGTTACGTACGTACGAGGGTTCTCCGAAGCAAAAGGCTTCCTCGTAACCGATTCGATGTTACGCTTCGTTACGCGAGTCTTGGATCGCGCCAACGAAGCAACAAGATCAGAGAGCAATCCACCACCCGAAAATATATCGAATGATCCAAAAATAATAGTCTCGTTGTTCGAAGGTTTCGGCAAAGTATATTTTTCTCCTCCGCTCGTAATCTTACCGTCAATCAGTGCCGAAAGCACTTCTCGCGAAAAGTAACCGTCCTGCTTCTCTTTTATCCTCCCTTCGTTCCGTGGTAATAAAAAAGAAAAAAGAAAAAAGAAGACTGCACGTTTTCCAGTAGAGCATCGTATAAGAGGGAAAATTGGAACGTTCCCAGGCGTCGAGATCGTTTGATTTCCCCGAGACAGTTTCTTCCGATATCTCAGCCGTGTAAGTGAATTTCCAGCCGACCGGAAAGATGCCGTGGAATAGTCTTGTCGACGAGGCGACGCTTATAATTCACAGAAGATAACCCTTTCCGGTTGCCAGTTACATTGTCGGATAGAAATTCAACGTTTAATCGGTAGAGGCGAAAGTCGTTGGATGAAATTCATAGAGGATAATTGGTCCCGCGAGTAGGAAAAGTTTTCCTCGCTATTCTAAGGCGTCGTTCGAGCGGAATGGAAAAGAATAAGAGGACTTTCGAAAAGAAATTCGATGGCGGGAACTCGAGGCTCGTAGGGCTGTCAGAAGCAAACGATGTCGGAAACAGAGACACATCCGAGTAATCGGGTGTGAATCGACAAATGTTTATCGAAGGGGAACCAGCCAAGCCCTTTCGACAAAATTTCTCTGCGTAATCGATTTGAAGGGAATCGCGTTCTCTTCCGGCAGGAAGGACTCGAGCTAGTTCGAAATTCGACGACGTTACGTGAAATTCGTTATTCCAGACCGCGTAACGCGATCCTCGCCAATTTAATTCCATTATTTCGCTTACGGAGCAAACGACAAAGTCGATCAGCGTGACTGCTACGCGTTCGATTAGCCGGCGGAAACCAGTTAAATTTACTCGGGACGATGTTACAAAAGAGCGAGTTTCAAAGTTTCATCGATTCGAAACGGGCCACCGCACCGTGGCGAACGGTTTCCAGGCAAAACTGGATCGCTTACCTACGGTATCGCGCCAGGAAAGCTGCGATGAAACGAGCGAGTCGTAAGTGTGGCTTCGAACGAGCCCACCGGCTGTTCGAAGTAAACTTCGTCAGGCGAAACCGCATAATTCGATAACGACTTATGGTTTTAAACGCGTTACGTTGTCGCGATCGGGACACGTGATCCGCGAATCGACAGAAGCCAACGAAACGACCAGCCCCGTGCTCGACTCCTTGATCCTCCAAAACACCTTCTGCACTTCCGTTAGGTAACCACGATATTATTACTTTATTCGAAGATAAGAAATCGTCGCGTTTCCGTGATACGAATACGAATCGTTCGAACGATCTCTCGAAAGCGAAACGCGGGCAGCAACTAAAACGACCCGTATTCGATCGCATCGTTTCGAACGATCGGAGATGGGATCGCGTTTAACCGTATTTGTCGCAATTTAACCCAATTATTCGGTCGGCGTCTTAACCGCATCGAACTGGAACGATCCGAAGATAGGAGGCGAGAAGCTGTTGGCGAGTAGCTATGATTGCTTGCACGCGAAATTTTCAAATGCACGACGCTCCTTCCGTCGCGGCTCGCGAAGAAAGCTGCGACAAAAGCCATAGAAGAGTCGGATCGGAAACGTCTGTTGCTCGCGTCCATTCTGAATGGCAAAATCGATGTCGGAGAAACAAGTTAGTTTGGTTACTGGGTCGCGCGCTATTCTGCGTCAACGCTTGTAACCGTTTCGAGCGTACCGCGAACGTAAATGTTACGCGTCAGGGCGTCGTTCGAGTTACCCGTGTCTCTTCGCCAACACTTTTCACCCGATAAACTACCGTTTCCGAGCGAAGCACCCGTTCTCCCATTGTCATCTCCAACGACAAAACGCGTCGCGTTCTCTCGTTTCTCGGCCCGATTCGAAATCTTTCGCAAATTGCTTTCCCTTCTTTTTTACCACCGATTTACCAACCATCCGAAAGATGACCGGTCGTATGAGAACGTTCGAAAACCCCGCGCTCCGATTGACCTCTCGCTCGATTCGGTCGTTTCTAATTTGGACGAAGCGCGAGTATTCTCAAGGCCGAACCGTTTAACCGATGCTCGAGCTGCTCTACCGGCAGCTATCCGCTGGATTTATGTATCTTTGTGCAGAGAACGAGAGAGATGAAGGGAGAGAGAGGAAGTGAAGAGAGGGAGATGAAAACGGAGGCAATTGCGAATCTCAAAGATACACGCGTTTCCACGATTTCAGATGCTGCGATGCACGCGACATCGTAAGCCGCGGTGGTGCATGTTTGCTTTAAAGGGAAACGACAGTAGGAAAATAGAAAATCGGTTATACGGTGACCCGACTCGATTCCACTCGTAAACGAAGGGATGAATCGATAGAGGGAGAGAGGGAGAAAGAGAGACAACGAGAGAGAGTGTGTGTGTGTGTGTGAGAGAGAGAAGCGAAAGCGGGAGAGGAGCACGAATAAAAAGTGGACCAAGCTTGGAACGCGAACGGAAGGATGTTCGTCAGGAAATCGAGATAAAAGCGGATGAAAGGACTCACCATATAAAGTCCTTGCAATGACTGCAGAACGTCGGTTGCTTAAAGAACCGCGGCATAAAGCTGTGGTTCTTGACGATGTAGACATTCTTCTTTTTGAGGGCTCCTTTTCTTCCGCGGAGCTTCTTGGCGAATGCGGTATTCGCATCGCCGGGTCCGAGGGAATCCTCGCACGTGTTGTTTGCTTCCTGATCGTCCGCCATCGTGCGCTCAACTGGTCGATTCTCCGGGCAAACGGTCCAAAGGAAAACCTCCGCCGCGAGTCTGTTCGCGGCTCGGACACTTCCGCGCCGCTCTTCCCCGCTGCACGGGCCCGCGGCTTTTCCTCCGCTGTCACGTCAATCGGAAGATGCACGCGCGCACACACCGATCGACCCTGCCAGGAGTCTCGAGTCTCGAGTCTCGAGTCTCGAGTCTCGAGTCTGCAGTCGAAACGGAGAGCAGAGTAGTCGGCCGTCCGGTCCGAGCGAACCAACCTTCAGACCTGATTTCCTGAATGTCACGGATAAACCAGGAAAAACCAGTGAATAAAATAATCAAGCCGTTCGTTTACGTTTTACGCGATTAACGAAACTGTACTTTGAACGTATTCGCGTTCAACGTGAACTCGCCACGACGTGCGACAGGTAACCTTCTCTTCACCGACGGCCACCGACGACGTCTCTCTGGCCTCGCTCGCCACCGTCGCGACCGTCGCTCCGTTACCTCCTTCTCCTCTTCCTCCTCCTCTTCCTTCGCCACCACCTCTTCCTCTTCCACCGCCGACGCTACCATTCCTCTTCCCACTCTACCCTTTACCCTCTATTTCTCCCACCCTCTAACTCTCTCTTTTCCTTCCTCTCTATCTTACATACGTATACGTTGGGGCACGCGCGTTCTCGTAACCGCCCTACCGCCCCCGCACCGACGCTGGCAAACTACACCGATAACCCGGTCGTCATCCCTCTTTCCTTTATCCCTCTCCCTCTATCACCTTTTACGTTTACCTCCACTTCCTTTCCTTTCCTTTCCTTTCCCTTCCGTTCTAAACCGTCCAACTTTCGACTACCCTTTCCTTACACCTCGAGCTTTCGTTACCCTCTTATCCAACTATCGTACCGTCCTGTCCAACTTTAGGATCTTTGTACTGCCTTTTTTTTTATTTCTCTTAGGCGAAACATCTTTCATCTTTTTTCCACTGTTTTATTTTTATTTATCTATTTTTTTTTTCAACCACTATTCTTTCTTGCAACATTTCCCCAACCCTGCTACCCCTCCCTTTTTCTCTTTCTGCATACCTATTCGCTTTACCCCTCTCTCGAATCGGCTGATAATTTTAGATTCTCGGCGCAGTACGCTCGACACTGCCACTGCTCAGCCTGCACCGCGCACTCGAATATCGACATTCGACGACCGCGAGAATCGCGAACACGCGCCGACCTGACCAAAACCTCGACAGAGTTCAGATTATACGGAGAGGGGAGAACGAATGCATCAACCAACTAACCTTTCCTTCGCATCTTTTCTTTCTTTTCTCCTTTCTTCCTTTCTCACCTGCTTACTTTGTTTATGCGACCTCTTTTGTTCTTCATTAACCCTTGAAATTTTATCTTTCGACGCATCATTGTCCGCATACTCCAACTCTTCGTCCTTTCCCTTTCCTTTACTCTTCGTTTTTCACCTACGTTAGTAATTTCATTAAACCCGTTTATTATATCCGTCTATTGCTTGGGCTCTTTACCTTCAAATTCCAAGTCTCCTTAACTCAAACCCAGATAGTCGATTGTTAGGGAAATGAGCAGCTTGTGTAATTTGAAGACGTCAGTCGACGATACTGCTGTCGGTTATTTTTAAGCTCGTTCGTTCATGTTCCATATGCACATTAATTGATAACGAGTTGATTTTCATAACTGCTTATAATGAATTCAATAAATTAGAAACACATTTCCAAGTTCGATTCGTCGTGACTGTTAAGTGTACGCCAATTATGTAATAACATCTGCAACGTCCACGTCATAAGATGAAAGTGTCAAAATCACTGAAACAAGCGGAATAAATATCCACTTTTTTCATTAATATTTCAATTCTGCTCTCGTTCTTCCAATGTAATCGATTCGAGATCTTTTGAATTTTATACTCGATTAGATCGTCAGTGGTGCCAACGATACGAACCATATGATTCATTCCATTCGATTTTGCATCACTGTGTGGCGTAGCGCGCGCCCCGTTGTATTATTATCGTTGCTAATAAATTTTTCCAACATGAACTCTTTAATAATTTATTGGACGATCCTGATGACATGCTGTCTAACGCTTAGTAAGTTGAATAAATATTGTTTTGTCGTGTACGGTTACTTATTTATCAATGTTTTTAGACCACGCCCTGGAATGCTACGTTTGTACCAATCAAGAAGGTAACAGAGAAAAGTGTCTGAAAAGTACAAAAACCTGCGAGCAAGGCCAAGATGCTTGTTTAACAATGATTAGATGGGGAAGTAAGTTTCTCTTTGTTGAAATAAGTTGTACGATTACCCAGTGTAATAATTGAGGTTATGTTTATATCGTTAGTAAGAGCAACGAGTGGAAAAATGAGTGTTCAATTCAGTTGTTCATATTATTGTTCGTTCTTGCAGGCACCCCGTATTGGTCACCAGGTGCAAAGAAACAATTTTACGTCTCCAAGATGTGTTCCACTAAAAAGGAGTGTGAAAGAACAAAACAGTCTAACATGGATGATTGCACATATATATGGTACCAAGATTGGCAGTGTTCTGATTGCTGTCAAGGGGACAAGTGCAATTATTATGCTATAGTGAGTTAAAGCTTTGATTTTGTAGCTTAAACTGTATGCAAATATACAATGTTCATTTTGTTTCAGTCTGCTGCAGAGGAAGTACGTCCGCATTGGCAGGTCGTAACCATCGTTTCGATATTTCTATACAATTTATGGAGTATGATCAACAAACAGTAGCGTAAAATAGCAGATATTAATTAGAGACTGATGAAACTATGACACCCCATACGTTAATAACGTATTCGGAAGCATCGCTTACGGCATACACCATACATGTATCACCAGTATGAATTGTATGGCATAGCGGTAAAGAGAACGTAGAAGAAAAGAGGAGATGAACCTGATATTCCATAATCCGTCCAATATGAAATTTTTATACATTTTAAACTTTTAGTCCACGAATGTACTACGAATATTTTTTACTTGTTAATACTATGTGTAACATATATACATAATTACATGTAAATAGCTTTTTACAAAAGAATATATACTTTTTTATTTGCCACCTAATAAACTGTTTTTAATTTGCAAAACTCTTGGATCTTAATCGTATTCGTTGACTGCGTTTAGCAACAACGAATATGACAGCGTCCACCGTCTAATAACTAATAATATATTATTAACCGATGGTTACGAGGAAAGATAACGATTTTTAAAAGCCAGATGGTAACGTATCGTCTTCCATGGGGGATTATGTATCGCCTTGCAACTTTAAGATATCTGATAGCTAGATAGATAAGCGGAACGAAGAATGAAGTTGTTAGGCGACAATTTCCCATTGTACTCGATGGTGACGCTTGAAATCCATTTTGAACGAAGAAAAATCCGCGCAACGTAATCCATTTAATCAAGTAAGTATCGAACAATGTTTTCTGTTGCAATTGGCACAATACGATATCGGCTAAAATAGTACGTGCAACGAGGATGTAGGTTTTTTTCGCGCGCCTTTTATGTTCGAACAAGAAATTACGAGTATTTTATTTTCCTATGTACAGTGGGTCACAAAATTATTCGCTCACCGTTTAAAACAGAATACCTCATGTAAAATTGGACCAAATGACCTGAGGCTTTTTGAGAATTTACTAAGGTATGTTCTTTTGCTGTTTTAAAAAATTACAGTTTGTCGAAATCGTGAAAAAAAGTAGTGAAGGGTAATTAAAATATATCTTTCGTAATTTCATCGATACCGGTCAATGCTCTTAGAAGTTACAAGCAATTGAAATTTCCGAAAATCGCGACTTTTCACCTAAGAACAACTAGTCACGTTAGTAAATTAATTTTTATAGCTTCTCAAAAAGCTTCAAGTCATTTGGTCCAATTTAAAATGAAGTATTCTGTTTTAAACGGCGAGCGAATAATTTTGTGACCCTCTCTATGTACATGGTTTAGGATACTTGGTGTGTATGCGCGTTTAATTGATACGCCAAAGGAGAATAAATACATATCTACAAACATGTAGTAAATTTACTAACGTACGATTGATAGATTGAACAAATATGTATAAAGAGTTGACGTCACCCTGATCGAAACGATTTTCTTCGTAACCGATGCATAAAGTTACGCGCACACGAACAGGGTTCGTATCGAATGAGATCGCAACGAAACGGAATGATCGATACCGTTCGGAGAGGATAAGAATGTTTGAAAGAGAATGATAAGAAAGTGAAAACACGTTCGTATAGAGATGTAATTGGTCGCGTTTGATTCGAATCTCAAGAAAGGCAAGGAAACGCTATCTGAACACTTATTGGCTACTAAATTATCGGAATTTCGATGAAACGATCGAAAGTTGATAGTTAAGATCAACTTATTATAAGCAGATGACCGATATAAACGAGACTGAACGGTTCTAATCAATTTGCGACGACGAAACGAGTCCGACCAATTGAACGGTTTAGCTAGCTCGCGACATAAGCAATCTTCGAGCTTGATTTAAAGAGATTTTAATTACCGCTCCTTTAGTCGGGAACCGAATGTTCACAAGTGTAGTCTCGTTCGTTCATAGTACTCCTTGTTGACAGCTTCGGGGAAAATGGATTCTTCTTTAAGCGTGCAACGCATGGTGAGCAAACGATAAAGATACCACGATGCGGCGGTGTTTTCCAGTTAACTATTTTGTTCTCTCACGATTAGTGGTTTCCGCCAAACGTTTCTCGGTGTTCGATAAAGAATCGGTTTCTTTCAGTTGTACAACATGAAAAGTTGGAAAGTTCAAAGTCTGTGCAAGGCGTTCAGTCGTAAAAAAGACGTGACACCGTCTCAGGACACGAAACTCGCCAGATGTTTATCCACCCTGGACCTGACGGCCCTTGGAATCGGCTCGACGCTGGGCGTCGGTATCTACGTTCTGGCGGGATCGGTTTCGAAACACACGGCTGGTCCCGCTGTGATAGTCTCTTTCGCGATCGCTGCGATCGCATCTATGTTCGCAGGTACGATATTCCTGTGATATATTCAAGTATCTGTGCCTCTTCTTCGTCAATTTTTCTTCTATTTAGGCTTATGTTACGCTGAATTCGGTGCAAGAGTACCACGTGCTGGATCGGCTTACGTATACAGCTACGTAACAATGGGGGAGTTTACTGCCTTTCTCATCGGTTGGACTCTAATCCTAGAGTATGTAATTGGCTCGGCTAGCGTGGTGCGGGGACTAAGCATTTACGTGGATGCTTTATTCAACAATACTATGAGAAACGCGTTTCAATCCGCGGCGCATATAGACATCAGCTATTTCTCCTCTTATCCAGACTTTTTCGCCTTTGGAGTAACTTTGATCTTCTCTGGTAAGAAGACGAATGTATCGGCGATTCGCTTTTGCTGCACTTCGTTGAAAAATGTTCATTTTCAATTTAATCAATCGAATTGAAACGATCGTTTGTTTCGTTTCAGCCGCATTGGCGTTCGGAGCTAAGGAGTCTTCGTTGGCCAACAACTTTTTCACCGTAGTGAATCTGTCGGTGGTACTTTTTGTAATAATCGCCGGATCCTTTCAAGGTAAGACTTTTGTTGAATACGAGATGAATTGAAAAGATAACTAATCGAAAATGATTACGTGCAACGAAGCTGACGTAACGAATTGGAAAACGAAGCCCACGTGTACGGAAGAAAAGTGCGATTACGGAAGCGGAGGATTCGCGCCATATGGTATCGCGGGTATCATAACGGGAGCAGCTACGTGCTTTTACGGATTCATCGGTTTCGATTGCGTCGCCACTACCGGCGAGGAAGCAAAAGATCCACAAAGATCAATCCCTATTGCAATCGTCGCCTCGCTCACCGTCGTTTTTCTCGCGTATTTTGGCGTATCGACGATCTTGACCACCGTTTTACCCTACTACGAACAGAATCCGGATGCCCCCTTTCCATATCTCTTCGATAGAATCGGATGGAGCTGGGCAAAATGGGTAGTTACGATAGGTGCCATCTGCGGTTTATGCGCCAGGTAATAAAACAATTGTCAAGATCCAAGAGAAATAAAAATTTCGTATATTCGTATATCGCTGTTTCAGCTTATTAGGCGCAATGTTCCCTTTACCACGAGTAATTTACGCGATGGCTTCCGATGGATTGATATTCGGATGGATGGGAAAAGTTAGCTCTCGATTCCACACACCGATCATGGGCACCTTCTCCGCGGGAATTCTTACGGGTTTGTATCAACGTATAGATCCTGTTCGATTCTGTAAACGTACGAATAAGTACATGTACTTGCAGGTGTACTGGCTGCGATATTTGAATTGACTCAACTGGTAAACATGATGAGTATCGGGACCTTGCTCGCCTATTCGATCGTTGCGGCTTGCGTACTTATATTGCGGTAAATATCGATGTCACCGGCTTGCTTAACGATATCCTGGAACATCGTTTTCTTACTCGTTTCAGATACGAGGAAAGCGAAGCGTACGAGAAGAAGGAAAATCTTGATCCGAGAACCTTGACGTTCATCGCGAAGCAGTTAATTAATGCTAACAAATTGAAACACTCCACGAAATTAACGTCTCAAATCGTTACGATATTAGTCGGGTGTTATGGTAAACTATCTTCTGTTTCATTATCGAATCATTCTTTTTCTATCGGACATTGTATATCAAATGATATTTACTTTACAGTCCTGTTATGTATCTGCATCGGTTTTATGGCTTCGATGTACACCAACGAAATCGTGAGCGGTAAAAGTACGATCGTTGTACCGTTAGCACTTTTAATAATCCTTTTACTGGTTGTTCTTTGTTTCATTTATCTACAACCGACTTCTGGCCAAAAGCTTGCATTTTCGGTATGTATCGTCTCTCCTTAAAGACATGTATTTCATGAAGACGTACAAAGTTGATTGTGTGCCTTTCTAGGTTCCGCTGGTGCCATTTTTACCTGCGCTCAGTATTCTTATTAATATTTATCTTATGATGATGTTGGATAAAATGACGTGGCTACGATTTTCGATATGGATGATAATCGGTGAGTAAGATAGAAAAAATCAATGCTCGTGAAATGGATCGTATTAGAAACAAAATGGTCCTCTTTCTTTTCTTGCAGGTCTTGGTATATACTTCTGTTACGGCATTTGGCACAGTAAAATGAGAAGGATAAAAGTCACGAAAGTAAACGATAACGGATACGTTAAGGAAGAAGCATGGTAAAATGCCGAGTTTCCTAGACTTATATGACACGCCTTTCTTCTCTATCCTTTTCCTTAACAAATAAACATTTTGTATTAAATGAAATATTTAATTTTCAATAAAATAATTTAAAAACAAAATACAGAAAACTATAAGAACGTTTATGAGTTAACTTTTTATATCTAAAATACTTTTATCAAAAAACATAGAAAAATACTAACTTTTAGAGAGCGAATAGAGATTTGAGATCGTTGAACGTAAGTTTCGAGGCGCCAGTGTTTTTGTGACCGGTTAGAACGTTCTGAGCTATTTCTATTTTCCTTTCTTGCAACTGCTTTATACGCTCTTCTATCGTATTCTTACAAATAAACCTGTAAATAAACAAAATCGTACAATAAATAATGCAACGATATTTTATGGAGAATCGCATGTATAGAGAGAGCAGTATTACTAACTTATATATATGAACATCCTTTCTTTGTCCAAACCGATAAATCCTGTCCTGAGCTTGTACTTCCAGTTGTGGATTCCAATGGATATCTATTAACAGTAAGTGATTTCCTCCTACTAGATTTAATCCAACACCTCCTGCAGTGAGCGATAACAACAATATTTTTGGATTGCTATTCGGAACGTTAAACGAATCCATTATACCCTGAAAAACGATATTATTTAGAACTACAAATATATCTGTATTTTTTAAAGAAATACCTGTCTTTCTTTGATGGGCACGTTGCCAGTGAACATACTGAAAGTTGCACCTTTTACCGAAGACAAACAAGATGCAACAATATTCAAGACGGTTGCCCATTGAGAAACAATGATCATTTTGTCGTCTGTCTGTAAAATTTCTGCTACCGTGTCGAGCACCGCTTTCATCTAGATACAAAACATAAAATTATCTAGCAGCTTAAATAAGATATTTGAAACATATATAGGATAATTCACCTTAGAACTGACACGGTTAGACTTGAAAACAGGATTTTTAGACGTGAGTAAATTATTGGTTACTCTGTGATCAACGCCAGTATCTTTTTCATCATTCGCATCCCCATCGTCATCACATAACGTTATATTATTTAGTTGCATCAACACGCCAGGGTCTAAATTTTCTGGATCAGTTATTCCGTTCTCTTGCATATCTTCTTGGTCCAGCATCGAATGAATAAGAGAAGGATGAACACAAATTTGACGTAATCTCAGTAAGAGAACCAAGATTTCGTGCGTTTTAACGTCAGCGTGTAACGACAATAACTTATTTTGGGCTTTGGTAAACTGAGTATTCTTATCTAACAAAAAAAAAGAAGTAAAATAATTATTTCGATGCATTTCGTGAAATTTTCGTTTTCTTCTTTACGTACTTGGATTTGAAAGAAAAGTTGGCCTGTCGTATTTTCCACCTGCTAAATCAAACATATGCTCTTTCTCGGCTCTTTGAGCCAAAAACTGAGCGAACAATGTACGAGAAAAGACGAGAACTTTTTCGTACACCAACTGCTCATGGGAATCGAGTTCTACAAATACTTCTTCAATAAATTTCTCTGGTAAACAGTCTAACGCACCGCTAGCTTGAAGCTCTTGTTTCGTTCTACGTAACATCAATGCTTTCATCACGGTTGCTAATCTCTGACAACCAGCGGCATTTTTATTATCTACCCAACGTTTCCAAACGCGTATATCATCGAAAGGAGAACATTTGAGAAATTTCAAAATAGAATACAAATCCATCTCCTTATTTTGAATCGGTGTTCCAGTAAGAGCCCATCGTTTATTTGCCACCAGCTCGCAAACTGATTGGGATCCTTGACTTTTATGATTTCGGATTATGTGTGCCTCGTCTAGTATTACTCTTTCCCAATGAATCTTGTATACCGTGGATCTGGTCTTAAATTCACGGGCTAGTATATTATACGTTGTAATAACCACGTCATGTTTTGCTAATCTTTTTGGTACATTTTCCCGATTAGTACCGTGATGAACTACCACAGAAAGCATACGCCTTTTACATTTGTGATGTATTTCATTTTCCCATTGTGACAACAAAGACGCTGGGCAAACCACAAGTGTACCTCCTTTATGTCGTAACGGCTTATAATTATCCGTCCATTCGTCATCGTCAAATTCGTCCATCTTTTGAACATTCTTCTTAGCGTTACAATCTAAGATGAGAGATATCATTGTCAATGTCTTGCCCAAACCCATGTCATCAGCAAGAACACCTCCGGGTGGTTTTTGTTGCTCCCTCCACGTTAACCACGCTAACGCGTGTTGTTGATGCGGCATTAATTTTACATTCAAACCCTGTGGATCTTCTGCTCTCTCATTTTCGGACGGTCTAGCTACAATAGATCCATGTAAATCTTGTAGTCTATCAGCTGTTAAAGCTGTCTCTTTTTCTAATGTTGCTTGTGCCTTTTTCCCAAATTCTCTTGAAGACAAATTTGCTGTCGCATTTGGTAAATATTTATTGATAGGAAATATTTCTTCCGAGTCGGTTTTAACCGATACAGTTCCCGTTAAAGGTGTACGTTCCAGTTCAGCTGTAATTAATTCTAATTCCCTTTTTTGCATCGCAATGCTCTCGCGCAACTTTTCTCCCTTATCCGGCAGTAAGTCGACATTACCAGTATCAAGTAGCAACTAAAAATATATGCGATACTTAGAAAATACGTTCTGTCTCCTGCTTTCTTCCTAATTAACTGACAAATTTACCTGTGCCTTACTCAACTGATTTCTCAATTGCTCCTTTTTACAAGCAAGAAGAGCTCTTTCTTGTGCAACCAGTGGATCTATATTACCAACACCAATCTCTTGTTTTGCTATAGATATTGCAGTTTCAGAATTGTTTTCTTCGTCCATAGTAGAATCTAAAAATCAATGTAGCATTAATTTAATAAATCAAAAGTATGTAATCTGAAAACAAAAACATAAATTCATTCTTTCTAAGCTGTTAGAATTAAGCCTACTTTCAAATATATTAGATGCACCAGCTTGAATACGTTGGAGTCCTCCCTTCTTTCTTTTTTTATTCTTTTCCACTTCTGATTCGGTCTCATCTACAAAAAAAAAGAAGAAAAAAAATGTAACAACAACTCAGTATCATTTTATCACATTTCAATGCAATACCATCTGAACTATCCTCATATGTGTCATCAGTTCTACTGTGAGTAGATGATGAAGAATCATTTTCATTGGGAACACCTGTACTATCTGAGTCATATAAAATATACTTTTTAATTCTATGTTTCACTGCTTCTTCTGTTAACGATGAATTTCTAGATGACACAGAGTTAGACCTTAAACAATCATAAATGAAATTAAGTTAACAGTTATTGAAACACATATTCCTTCTGAAAAATGTTACTTACTTTTTTGTTGGTGTTACATTTCTAGACGCGCTTAGACTACTTTCATCACTTTCAATCACATAGATCTGCTCTTTCTCAGCAGTTTTAACATTATCTTCTTCTTCATCACTGTCGGAAATAAGAACGGATTGACTGTTCTTGGTAGACGGCGAATTGCGCCAATTATTAAAACTTTCGTCCATTCGAGCTTCTGTAAATTTTGTTAATTTCTCAGAAACCTACAATACAAGATGTACATATGTACAATATTTTTATGTTAATACAGATTATACAAAACTGTTTCTTTCTTACTTTAGTTCATAATTCACCTATGCGTAGAAAATTTAACTGAACTTTTTTGAATTAGTATAAAGCTAGATTTGAACATAGACTATGCAGTAAAATGGTATGAAATGTGCTCAGATGTTCGTAAAAGGAAAGTAATTTCGCCATTTTCCCTAGGAAAACCTATTTTGCTCGATACTCCTCTGCTCTGTATATTGTATATGAACATGGAATGAATAAACGTCAGAATCAGAGCACGTCACAGAAAAATAGTTAATGTTTGGGTGCAGTGTCATAGCATCCCTGTAATTTATCTATAAATTATCAAATTAAAAACATGTCGTCGTCATATTTATCAACAGGTCGTTTAAATGTAGGAATAATACAAGAACAAGCAAGAAAACAATTACTTTGCTTGCTCGAAAAATGTGATGGCACAAAGGTATTAAGACAACCTTTCTGACATTACTTTTTATTTAATTTACATTATGCTACTGTTACTTTGATCAATGATATTTATTATTCACATATATTTCTTTGTACTTTAAGATATACATAAGAGATAATGATGTATTTTGTACATACCATATTTAATTTATAAATAAATACATAATGCTAAAGAATTTTTAACATTGTTTTAATAGGCAATTATTTGGGATCAATCTCTTGCAGGACCAATCGGTCTTGTTGCAAAATATAATTTGCTTGAGGAGCATGATGTTGTTAAGATGTATCCTTTATGTGGTGGAAGTTTGACAATACCATCAAATATTGTTAATATAATCTTTATTACCAGACCTCAATTATCACTCATGGATTTAATTGCTGAAAATGTTCATGGGTATGAATAAGATGAAAGAATTAATTCTAATTTCGGATTTGTATTGATATTTATATAGTGATTAACTTACAGTGAAGAAGGAAAAAGACCACGAAAAGAATTTCATTTATTTTTTGTACCAAGAAAAAGTCTTCTTTGTCAAAAGAAACTTCAGAATAGAGGTGTTTTTGGTAGTTTCACACTTATAGAAGAATTTAAATGTGATCTATTTCCCTTTGATAATGATCTTCTTTCCATGGAACTTAGTGGATCATTTAAGGAATTTCACTTAGAAAATGATCCAACCTGTTTGTATCAAGTTGCACAAGCCATTCATGGTTTACAAAGAATATATGGAAAAATTCCAAAAGTGACAGGAAGAGGTCCAGCTGCTGATAAAGTTTGGGAGTTATTAAAAAGATTAAATAGAGAAGAAGAAGATTCTAAAACATCCACTCAGTCCTCTACTATAGAACATTTATTGTTACTGGATAGATCAGTAGATTTACTTTCACCTTTAGTTACTCAGCTGACATATGAAGGATTAATAGATGAAATTTTTGGAATAAAATACAGTTAGGTTTTATATTTTTTTTCTGTAACAAAACACATCTTGTAGTAACATTTTTGTATGAATACAGGTGAATTTATTTACTATAATTTTAGATACTGTACAGTTACCTGCAAGAAGGTTTCATGATTCACAAGATCCTCCAACAGCAATGTCTCTCAATGAAAAGGAACAAATTATATTGAATTCTGGAGAGGAGTTGTTTGCAGAAATTAGGTTCATATTTTAATTGCCTCTGCATTTGAACATAATTTCATGTTTCATTTTCTTCTCTTTTCAATTACAGAGATAAGAATTTCAATGGAGTAGGACCTGTTCTTAGTAGAAAAGCTAAAGTTATTTCATCACAGTTTGATGAGAGACACGGAGATAAAAGTGTGCAAGAAATTAAACAATTTGTCGCGCGATTACCGCACATGTTAGCTACTAAACAATCTTTAGCAAAACGTAAATGTTGAAACATTTATTTAATAATATTAATCATTATTAGTACTAAACTAATTTATTATCATTTATTTTTAGATACAACAATAGCAGAAATGATCAAAGAAGTAACAGATTCAAGCAGTTTTCTGGAATCATTACAAGTTGAACAAGAATTGTTAAATTGCATTGATGCAGATAAACCAAATGCTTACATAGAAGATCTGATAGCACAACAGCAACCACTTCTTAAGGTCTTGAGACTTCTTTGTATACAGTCGTTGACAAATTCTGGACTCAAGCCGAAATTATTAGATTATTATAAAAGAGAAATAATACAAACATATGGATATCAACATTTGCCAACTATATTAAACTTAGAAAAAGCTGGATTATTAAAACAACAACAATCCGCTCGCCAATATGCGGTTTTACGTAAAGCATTGAGGCTTACAGTTGAAGATGAAAGTGAAATTGCACCAAAAGATATTAGTTACGTTCATTCCATATACGCACCATTAAGTGTTCGATTAGCAGAACAGCTTGTGCAACCAAATGGTTGGCAAGGTTTAAATGATGTTATGGGGCTATTACCAGCTCCTACTATCAATGTTCCATCCAATGTCTTACCTGGAAGAAGTAAGCAATATATGTAAGAATATGTTCTAAATATGTTGTAATCATCATAATTAAAGTACAAACTTATTTTCAGGAAATTCAGTTACCAGTGAAGATTCTAATTCAGAACCACCAAAATTAGTAATGGTCTTTTTTATTGGAGGATGTACATTTGCAGAAATTTCTGCATTGAGATTTTTGTCCCAGCAAGACGATTGTAAGTAGTACTAGAATTTTACTAAATTCTAACTATTTAAAGTATGTTTCATGAAGAATAAATTGCTTTCAGTAAACGTAGAATTTGTTATCTGTACCACAAAACTAATCAATGGAAACACGTTTCTAATGTCATTAATGGAAAATTTAGAAGGTACATAGTCGTCTAGTTAAATAAGTGCATTTACTAAGAAGAATGGTCTACTTACAAATCCATATATACATACATATAAGAATGCAGAAGTTAGACTGATTAATACATTATCAATCAGATGTTTAATATTCCGTTAATCAGATATAAAAATTTCTTTTGTATCATATTTATAATGCAATACAATTGTACATACATAATATGTATATAATTATTCATAAGTACATCTTACAGCATAATAAACTATGTAAGATAAAGTTGTGTTAATATATAAATGCAATATCTACATGTATAAAAATCACACCAAAGTTTTGTAAAAGTAGAGAAATATACAAAATATACATCTGAAACATTGAGGTGTAAGATTCTTTTGCAAAATATTGTTGTATGGTAATTGCATTTCTCTTTTGCATATGGGTGTAGTTCAGTCCTTGGGTTTGATAAAGAAGTAGCTCGTGGTTACCGATAATATTTACTAGTTCAGAAGTGAATCGGTATAGAGCGCCACTCGTCATCGACAGAGAACTCGCCAGTTGTAGAATACACCCAGGCTAGGCGAAAAGGCGTCAAAAAGTTTGCGAATTCTCGTGTGTCCGGCTGACGGTGGGTGCCGTATTGTTGCGTTGCCGCGGATTGTCGCGTCTCGCGCGTCTGTGCGTACGTGCGTGACACGTACGAGGCGTGTACTTTTCCCGGGGTGCGTTGTAATTGCATGTAAAAGAATTGTGATCCTCAGATCTTAATATGCTCGAAGGATCGGCCAACTTTTGGAAAAAGAGGTGCTCCGCCTGAAGAGAGTACTCGGAGCTGCGCGCATGCTTCCGTGCCTGCTCCCTCGCCATTTTGGAGGTGAATATCATTTTTTTCCTTGTTGCCGAAGCTCTGGATAAATTTCGATTGATATATCAGGATCCAATCGTAATGTTGTACACTCGGTCTAAGCACGGCAAGCGTTTTCGGCTACAGCGACAATGTCTCTCGATTGTATTTACGGGACCAATCTGACGCGATTGCTCGAGTCAGAGACCCAACCCTCCTTACGCCCGCATTTCTACCTCCTGCGAATTTCACTCGACCGCCTTCTTTGCTTACCAACCCCAATTCTACAATTATTTCTATTTCTCTTGTGAAAATACTTGTTGTTTAATACTTCTGCATACTAACGATAAGGTTTGTTTCAAAATTTTCCGCGAATTCTCCTCCTAACAACATACGATATTTGTTTAAGTTAGATGAGTTTTCACGGATAGAATGGTGTATTTCGTATTGAGGACCTCGTGATAAGTGTCAAGCTCGTTTTAATTATACAAAATAAGATCTCATAGTATAAAGAGTTCCTCACTTTCATTTTTTATTTGATAAATTTAATTACCTAGGTTTACTAAACAGTGTTTATTAATGAGTTTATTAAATAAAGAAACTAGATATTGTTAATGTCTTAAAAAATTAAATTAGGTGAGATATAAAATCAGGATGTGCAAATTGTAATGGAAAGCAATGATTGTGTAACAAAGAGTTGGGAATTAGTTCTAGGCCCTTGAAATAAAAATTGGAAATTTATATTTTTTCACAGATAGAATGTTAAATTTTGGAATGGACTGACAGAGGATTAAGTAAGATTAACAAATTTAGGATAGAAGATTAAAAGACAAGAAGACGTCTAACGGTGTCTGAAATAGGCCTCGGCCATTTAATCATTAATACCTCTACTATGCCAGCTGTTCCAAGGCCTGGTAGCCTTAAGGACCCAGAGATTGCTGAATTATTTGAGAAAAATGATCCGGAGAAAATATTTGAGGACTTACGTGAAATCGGTCATGGCAGTTTTGGGGCTGTTTATTATGCACGATGTTTGGTTACCAAAGAAATTGTTGCCATCAAAAAGATGTCTTATTTGGGAAAACAAACTGTTGAAAAGTGGCAAGATATCTTGAAAGAAATTAGATTTCTTAGGCAACTGAACCATCCTAACACAATAAAGTATAAGGGCTGTTATCTCAGGGACCATACTGCCTGGGTATATATTTTTAAAAATATTCTGAATACTAAATTAGTTTACCTTATGTGTGTGTTTGTAATCATCACATTGCTTCTATACCTTAATTATAGTTGGTGATGGAATATTGCCTTGGTTCTGCATCTGACATTATTGAAGTTCATAAAAGACCATTGAAAGAAGATGAAATAGCTGCAATTTGTGATGGTGTGCTACGTGGTTTATATTATCTTCATTCCCTTGGAAGAATTCATAGAGATGTAAAAGCTGGAAATATTTTACTTACTGAAAATGGAACAGTGAAATTGGCAGACTTTGGATCAGCAAGTATAAAGTGTCCAGCAAATAGTTTTGTAGGAACTCCTTATTGGATGGCACCAGAAGTGATATTAGCTATGGATGAAGGGCAATATGATGGAAAAGTGGATGTATGGTCCTTAGGGATAACATGTATTGAATTAGGTATCATGGTTCATCCTTTTTCACCTTTTGCTTATTAGAAAAGATCCAAATGAGTTTGATTAAAATATTTTTAAATATTACCTTTAATTTTAGCGGAACGGAAACCACCGTATTTCAACATGAATGCTATGAGTGCTTTGTATCATATTGCTCAGAATGACACACCAACTTTAAATTCTGCAGATTGGTCAGATGTTTTTCGACATTTTGTCGAAGTGTGTCTTACTAAAAGTCCAACTGAAAGGCCAACCTCTGGTAAACTGTTATCAGTGAGTCTTTTGTGCAGATTTTTATTTTAATAGTAACATATAAATTTAAAAGTTAAATTTTATGGAAAGAATATACTGTACTTGGTTTAGTTAGTTGTTTTCTTATAGGCTTTCAATTTTACAGCATCAATTTGTCACCAGAACACGTTCTCCACAAGTTCTGATAGATTTAATCCAACGAACAAAAGCTGCTGTCAGAGAACTGGATAATTTAAATTATCGAAAGATGAAGAAAATTTTAATGGTCGACGCTTGCGAGACTGAAAGTACAGTTGGCGATGCTGATGGTAATATATATATTGTATAATAATATAAGTATGTTATATATGGTCTGTTATATTTACATTTTCATTCATATTTTTTAGACACTCCTGATGAACAAACAGGTGGTGATAGTAGCAAAAGTAATTCAATTACTTCGGAGCACTCAATTCATTCGATGGGTGTTTCTGCAAGCTCTCAAAGTTCCTCCACCAATAGCCTGCCACTGCCAAATGCTGATGCAAATGATTATTCCACGGGATCTGTACGGAATCGACACAAAATACCAGCAGGTGGTGTCACTGCCAATCTTCTTGAACATGGTGCCAATAACTTCGCAACAATTAGGACAACATCGATTGTGACTAAACAACAAAAAGAACATATGCAAGAAGAAATGCATGAACAAATGAGTGGGTATAAGAGAATGAGACGGGAACATCAAGGAGCTTTGGTAAATTTTGTTTTACATATTTAAGTATTTGAAAATTATACAGCTCATATTATTTATCTGATAAATTATTTAAATAGGTAAAATTGGAAGAACGATGTAAAATGGAGATGGAGTCCCACAAACAGTTATTAGACAAAGAATACGAAACTCTTCTACAACAGTTTAGTAAAGAATTAGAAAAGCTTCAATTAAGGCATTTGCAAGAACTAGAACGTAAATTGAAACAAAACCAAAATGCAGAGAAGAAGCTTCATAAAGAGATTACAAGTAGACAAGAGGCTGATCGGAAAGCATTGGAAGCACAGCAAAAGAAAGAGTACAAAGTAAGAAGATAGATATAATAATAATAGTTGCTATTATTTCTACAATTACGTTTATTCGACATAATGAATTTTAAAATTTCTCACGCTGCCTAAATATTAATATTTTACTTTTAAGGCTTATAAAGAGAGATGGAAAAAAGAATTATCCCAAGATGAAGTTACGCCGAAACGACAACGAGATGCTACGCTTCAAAGCCAAAAAGATAATTTCCGACAAATGGAAGCGCAAGAAGAACAACGACTTGCAAGAGGACAAAGAGAATACCTTGATCTTGAAATTCGTAAATTCCGTAGAAAAAAGTTACTCATTTTTCATAGTTTAGAGCAAGAACTACTGCGAGAAGTTAGTATAGTATTTTATAGAGATAAATATTTCATTAGTGTTCTTTTTTACTGATGTTATAATTATCAATATTATTGATTTGAAAAATTAATTGAAGTAATTTCATTTGTAATTATATACAGGAATTAAATAAGAGACAACAACAGTTGGAACAAGCGCATAATATGTTGTTACGACATCATGAAAAGACACAAGAGCTGGAATATAGACAACAAAGAGCCGTTCATGCTCTTCGAGAAGATCAAGTTCTTCGGCAACATGCTACTGAGCTTTCAAATCAACAAGATTACATGCAAAGAGCAGAGCGTGACTTGCGCAAGAAACACGCGCTAGAACTCAAACAGCAACCGAAGAGCCTCAAAGTAAATAATATAGTTCAACTTCATAAAAGAATAGTACATACTGAAGAAAGTATAATGTTCATGTTTTATTATTTTAGCAAAAAGAAATGCAGATTCGAAAACAGTTTAGGGAGACGTGTAAAATACAAACGCGGCAATATAAGGCATTGAAGGCTCAAATATTACAAACAACAGCTAAAGAAGAACAAAAAGCCGTTATTAAAAAGTTAAAAGAAGAACAGAGAAGAAAATTAGCTCTGCTAGGTGACCAATATGAACAAAGTATTGCCGAAATGCTCCAAAAACAAAGCATACGTTTAGATGAGTCGCAAGAAGTTGAATGTCATAACCTTAAGGTAAGATATGTTACATTAATTAAATATTTATGAAAAAGTAAACCATTATTTCATTAATATTCCAAAATATTTCTCTCCTAATATAGTAATATCAAGTATAATTATCCCGGTCTTGTTCACATAATTGATGTGATTTTGTTTTTATTAGTTCTTGAATTTGATTATTCTTTTGTATGTTCTATAGGAAAGGTTAAATTATGAATTAGAAATACTAATGGCATACCAATCTAAAAATAAAATGCAAGCTGAAGCGCAAAGAAATAGGGAGCGTCGTGAATTAGAAGAACGAGTCTCAGTTAGGCGAGCTTTACTTGAACAGAAAATGGAACTTGAAACTCAGGAATTTCTTCGTGAACGCAGTGAACGGATACGTTTACTACATGAAAGACAGGAACGCGAGTTACAACAATTTGATGAGGAAAGTGCAAGAATAGGCTTCAGGTATGTAATCTGTAACTTGTGTACGTGTATTTTTGCATTAATAGATTTTATAATAGCGTACACGCGATATCTACAATATTTTTACGTTTTTTTTTTTTTTTCTATTTTCAATGCTATTATATTTTTCACTTAACACTGAATATAATTTATCTTTAATTAGTGATTATAGCTTTGCAACGTTTTTCAGCATATGAAAGTTAACATTTAATGATTGCTATATACGTATGGATAAATTTCACTAGATTCTTCAGATTGAAAGTACATTTTAATAATGTTAATTTAATAATAATAATATTAATACTTCTCAATATTTTTACAAGCTCAACGGATGTTTTATAATACTGTTAAATTTTGCCACATTATCATTATTTCTTTAAAAGAAATAAAGGTATCACGTGTACGCTTTTTTATGATGAACTGACTTAAAAGGAAGAAAAATATTTTAGCTTTAATATTCTGTTTCTTCATTATTAAAGCCGTAATTATTTAATCACAGATAGATTTAAGAAAATATTGTAGTATATTGTTACATACATATTATTTTTTCTTTTTTTTTCTTTTTCAAATTATTGCAGTGCTCTGGCGATAGCTGAGGCATCAAAAGAAACTTATTCAGATGATGAAAGCCTTAGTGGCTCAATGTTAAGTCTGGCTCACAGTAATAGTTCTACATCCTTCCCCCCTAATAGTCTTTAATTTTAATCATATTAATAGAATATGTATGTATGTACGTTTGCCTGTAGTGAATGCATAACGAGCCTACCGACGTTTAATTCAATGACTTACATACATAGCAAAAGTTGGCTCGTTACATGTATCGACCCAAACCTAAGAGGTTTGCTAGGGTTGGGAATGTGTATTGGACTGAAATTAATGTACCAGCATATTTTTTAATTATCAAAATATGTCAATGTGATCTATCTGGAAAGAGAGCTTCATATTGAAGAAGAACTTAGATGCTTTTTGCAACGTTGTAATATTTATTAATCATATCTAAATACCTTGTGAATTAAATAGGAGTAAAAAAGAAAGAAAATCTTTTAAGTATCAGTCTTATCTACTATACTGAAAAATGAATCTTAATGTTTTTGGGCTTTGAAGTAAGCCGGGCTATTATAGCATACAGAAAATTTTATATGCGACTACAGAAAATGTTTAGAAACATTTATTTATCAATATCTTGCAATTATAATAAAACAAAACAAACAGTATAATCATAAGCTCGACTTATACGTTTGATTTTGACTAGTTGAAGATTTGAAATAAGAACGATACGGAATAATATTTTCGGTAAGATTTGAACCAATTCTTGGTCTAGTATTAAATGATCTTACCGATAATTGTGTACGTTGATTTTTGCAGACCTTATTTCAAGCTTTCAATGACATTTAGTCTGATTTAACAGAAACTGAGTGAGTCGATTTATTTATTTTAATTGCATTCTTAATGCAGTTAATGAATTTACAACATGACAAATAATAGAATGATTTAGTTGCAGTATCCTATGTTGTAGTTTACGATAGTGTATTCATGATAGAGAATATTTGTTATTTCAATGAGAGATTAATTTCTAAAATTGAAAGACACTTTTTTACTATTTTATACAATTTGTTTAACATTGCTAAAAAGGAATGTCAATATCAAAAACTAAATTGATAATAAAATTATTGTTGAATTACCAGAGTATGATAATGTTCACTCTAAATTCCTTTCAGCATTAAAATTTATCTTCTTAATTTTAATTTGACCGTGTTAGATATGAAGCTTCAGTACGATTATTTTTTCCTGAAATAAAGTAATAATTACATTAATTTTTATATTCTGCAAATATTCATTGAATTGAGAAATTGTTATATATTTTATGAATAGCTATAGCATCATGCAAATGGGTCAAAAAGAGACTATATACAGTGTTGAGATACCTAAACAGTTCACTTATTGTTTATATCTTTAGGAATCAAGAACAGTGTCTAAAATAGGAATTATTTGATATCGTGCACTTTATAAAAAGAATATTAGTATAAGACATAATATTAAACCTTTTTTTTTTTAATTTTAAAAACTACTAAAAAAAAATTAATTTGAGTAATATCTATTAGGTATTGCTGTATATAGTTCACATTTATAATATTTTATATAAATAGGATGTAAAAAATAAGTATTATTTTTATTGCAAACAATCTAGAAGTTTCTTTCACTGTACTCACGAAAGGTGGAAAACATACATAAAAAATATTTCCTCATATTTGTTTCTTATGTTTTAGCATACCAATCCTGAAAAAAAGATACAATTTTAAGCAATATGAAAAAAATCATTCTGTCAATATTTCTTAGGACATAATTCAATTCATGCATTTGTTCAAAGTAAAAGTAACTAATGAAATAAATATCGTTGTTATTTACGTATTATAATCTTAAATTATAGATTAAAAATAGTTTAAAAAGTAGTATTTCATTGTACTCAACGACTCATTTGATTTTGCCTAATCAGCAATTTATAATGTATACAACTATTTTTACTTGCCAAAATGAATCTGCAAATATTATTCTAGTCTGTATGTTGCTTCCGGTATACCATAAATCTTTTATATTAATTTTGCAGGTATCAATAAAGTACTTCTTCTTTTGCTGTTGATTAGAAGAGTCATGATAACATTATAATTTTGCTTGTATTATCAATATTTTGGTTGTATTATATTCTGTTCTAATTGTCCGAAGTTTCCTTCCAGTACACATCCCAATGTTGTACTTTTATATTGTAGTATCTAATTTGTTTCTTTTTTCATTTACTACATTTCCATGTACTTTTCTTTTGTTTTACATACGTTCATCTTCATTACAAAGTATTGAATTTAAATTCAGATGATTGTGACTGTTTCTTCTTATTGATATTTAATTGTAACAATGCTAATGATACCTTTTTTTTACATCATTAAATGTGATTAATGAAAATAATATTAATTCAAAGTGTTATTGTTTATATTTCATTTAAAACATTTTCACTGACAAGTATTTTTGTATGAAAGTTTTCACTGTGTAATATATAATATATAGTTATCTATGTTTCAATGCAATACAAACTAATGCCTTTACATAAATATATCAATTTGTATAATACATAATAAGTTAAGTTAAATATATCTTACGATAGAATATTTCTTCCAAGTGGAAATAGTAAAATAATTATGAAGTAACGTATTAAATAGCAAAAAATAGTAAAAGCTTTAATTTGAAAATTAAATTTGTTTTACAAAATTAAAAAATCTATATAAGTGTCAGGTAATATGTATGTAATATATCATACAATTATTTATATTAATACTGTAATATACATTCCAATTTTTCTTTTTTTTTCGTACATCACAATGAAAATTCCATGATAAATTTAAAAAATTAAAAATGTGTTCAATTGCAGTAATAAAAATCAATCAAAATAGCGCAGAAAAGCACTTCTGTAATTATGTATTCAAAACTATTCAAATGAAAATGGTCACAATCAACTGAAAGATTTTTTGTAATAATACAATATGTAAATATATACACATGTTATAGACTAGAAAATCTGTAGCATTAATTGTAATGAAGCCTGTAGCATTACATATATCTATCACATATAAATTCTTCCTTAGGCTATTTCTTAGGAAGATTCATGAATATAATAGACCTTTAGTAAACTATTACAATTGATAATAAACAGTACAGACTAATAGAGGTGTTCGTGCTATATTTATAACATAATTAACATAAATTATAACATTTTAATCCTAGTCCGATTGCAATCCATATATCATTTTATGCAATAATTACCATAAACATATAAATAAATATTTCAACATTATAACTTAAAAATTACGCAATTTTTATTCAAAATGTATTATATTTATATTTTACCAAATTCAGTAATTGAATTTGTTTATAATTACTTTAATTTAAATAAGATCGAATAGAGTTTTGTAAATGATTAAGATAATTATACTATATGCAAAATAATATTTCATTCCTTATAAAAATAGATTAAAGACGAATAATTAAAAAAAAAAAAATCTTAAGGTGCAAGAAATGATAAATTTGTATATTAATTTCTAATATTATATCAAGCTTTTAATTCAATTCGTTTGAATTATATCCATGACTTATAACAACATAATGTAGAAGAAAATAAGATAAACAATATTGCAATATTCCTTATTTGAGATAGTAAAAATTATGAAATATTTTTGCTATACATTCATGTTTAATATTTAATGGCTTATGGATTGCAAGGACTCATGTACCATAATCATAAAACAAAATTAACACAAAATACAGCTTTTTATATTAATTGTAAATAAACACTATTTTTTCCAATTTAGTTTAAATATAAAGAATCATTGATATTAAATTCTAAGATACATGTATATTGTAGTATAAGGAAAGAAGATTATTAGAAAGATATCCTTGTTTTATAAAGGATAATTATATTTAACAATTTGTATGAAATAAACAAGTGTATAAAATAAATAGTGTTACATTGTTATAGCAATAAATTGCTTTGATTATTATCGAAATTTAAATTGTTAATTTAGTTACACTTTTTTTTAATGTAGCACGGGTTCTCTATAAGTCTGATTGTATGTATGTATTAAAAAAAAGGAATAGAGAAATGTAATTTTCAATTACGATTAAATAACTATTATCGTAAATTACTGAATAATAATTTAGAATATTACTTTTCACTGTTACTAGCATTTTGTAAATATTCATTCACTATATGTAAGATCTTGAAATTGAATCTTAATTATGATGACTAGAATTTAGTATAATAATAGAGTTTATTAAATTCTCCAAAGGTATGCCAATTAACTTGATAATTTGAATTTTAAAAGTGATATATGAATTAACCGATTAAACATGGATATAGCATATCAGTTATTAATTACTAATCAATATTAATAAATTTTTGGTTCACTAATTTCTCACTTATTACCATCCATGTGTAATTTAATTTTTTAATTACGACATGTTCATTAATACTGATCTAAAGTGTGTGGCACTTTTTTCAGATCAAGTTAATGGGAAAGAAACAGTTAAAATAATACTATTATCATATATTATGAATTAATAGAAAAATTTTGCTTTCTTTCAAATAACAAATAAACTGATAAATGTACTAATATATATCATAAATATAATTTTTGGCTTTAACTAGATAATAATTTTCATTTTTAGTAACGCTATTTTCTAATAAGGAACATTTATAATGTAATGCGAGTAACACGATTATTATATAAGAATAAACATTGATTAAACTGTAGAAGATAGAAAAACACTTCAGAGCACACATAGACGGAGATTTATGAGAGATCTTATGAATCACTTGTTTTATGTGATTAAGAAAATAAAACTGTCTGCAAAATTAATAATGTAACTTCGAAGTTATTGATATAATGGAAGAACGATAAATAATTCATCTGCCTTCCACTTAATAATAAATTAAATTTTTAGTATTATATCAAGTCAAATTGTTTTTATCTTACATTTAATGAAAATGTATGTATGTGTATAATGTATTTGCAATATCATTTAATATAATACATGAACACTACTTTTTATTGAAATTTTAATCTATTAAATTTTAACAAATCAAATTATATTATTATATATAACTTCTGATGACCGAATGTTGTCAGTAAAACACAGTTAAACTTTTTAAATTGATATTATATAGTTTGTACTTTATTTGGTACAAAGCATTATGCATAGACGTAAGATAAGACTAATAAATTAAAAAACAACTAATTATTAATTTTAATAGTTTTTGCACGATGTTAAAAAGTTAAATGTTTTAACAAATCCATTCTATGTCAAATGATTATGTATGATATAAAGTTTCAAATAAAGCTTTTAAATTATTTCGAAGAATAAAAAGGACATATCTTAAATCATTTGAGAAATTGTTAAATTTATAGTTTAAACATAATTTAAATGTGTTCAAACGTAATTGAATTCTAAATCTTGAAAATTTAATTAATTTTTTATTTTTGAAATTGATATATAAAAAGTTATATCGATGTTAAAAAATTCATTTAGACAAATTTCTTATTAATCATTTTGTTGTTATTTACATTATAAGAATTATATAAACAATATGAAGTTTGATCTTTTCGTTTTGAATTATGGAAAAGCAAGTTGAAGTAGCATTTGAAAAAATATATTAATGCATTGCAATATAAACCTATGTTATGTCACTTGTTCCTTTATTATAATAAATATCTTGTGAGATGTTAATTTATACCAATAGTTGAATGTATAAGATTAAAATATTTTTATAACTAATTGATATATGAAGTTCCAAATTTTATTTTGATATCTAAAATGCATTAAACATTTTAAAATATATCGTATTCAACAACGGTGATAATATGTCATAATCATTTGACATGGAACAATTTAAATGTCACAAATTTTTACATTTATAGAGAATTTCATTCTGACCGTTTTTATTTTTTTTTTTATAAGATAAATGTTAATCAATATCTTGTATATATACTTATTGTATGCTGTAAATATTCGTCAATATTTATTTCTGTGTTCTGAAGATGCTTTCTATTTTCAATATTGTCAAAGACATAAGTCCTCCAACAATGCGCCATCCTTCATATAATTATAAGGAAAAATTTGAAATGATTCAAATTCAATTTCTTTTTTACGTTTTCTATTTTCAAAATGGATCTGCATTGTAGAAGCAATGCTATATGAATCACAAGTATTGTTAAACACATAAGAGGAATGAGATTTTGATTGTATAATATAAAACTTCGTACAATGTACATTACATATGTGTACATTAATGCAATAACTTTTAATAAAATAAGCATTGTAGATCATATAATAATCCCCCTTTACTTCACTTGCTCTATGTTTATGTATGTGTATAAAAAATGACATATGTGATTACTAATAACATAGCTGTAACTTTTAAAGTTGATAGCATTAAATGAAAGTAAATTGTTCATACAAATTACATTGTAAAAGTTTAAGCAATACTGAAGTGTTTTTAATTATATTGAGTACTATATAGATTGAGCGATCAGAAAATTAAAACGTAAAATAGACTCACATAAATCGTTTTTTATATGACATAGTTTAATTTACGATAATATTCTTCATCACGGTGACGAGTATTTTACTACCTTTTTAAAACGAATATGGAACACAAATAATATGAATTGTAATTAATTTTTGTTAGATTAACACACATTCTTCAAATGATGACGGGAGTAGAGGATACAACATGCTCATTACCTGAAATAAACAGTTCAGATTGATCAAACTTAATGTATTAAGTAGATAAGAAAAATATTTAATAAATGTAGGCATTTTCTAATTCTTTCATTCTTTTTTTTTATAGTAAATAGTTGTAAAAATACTAACCTGTCTCACTGATGATTTTTAATAGTTATATAAATATTAATAAAAAAAAAAGTATGAAGAAATATTTGTAACTGTAACAACAAATATCTACCTGCAAATAAAGAATGAAGATATACTTACTCCATAACATTATAACAAAGAAATTTAAATTTTATTAAAATACATTTTAGAAGTTGTAACACAACAAAATGCTATCATTTTTTTTTTTCATATTGAGCGCTGAGTTTATACAGGTGTAAACGGAATATAAATTATAACAAATGTTTTTACAATGTTATAATATAGACATAAGAAATAAATCTTATTATACAAATGCATTTAGATTCATGAAAGTAAAATTTTATTTTGTTGGTGAAAAGCTAGTCGGACTCAATATACGGGAATGCGTTTCCCTTATTAACGGCACGGTATATGCAACGCATGCGTCCCATCCTGGAGATCTCCATGCACTTTCGCGTGTTTCCATCCGTGCTTGGAAATTTTTGTAGCCTACAATTCAAGGTACTTATGACAGTAATGAATTCAAATATGTTGTGAACTTAATACTATTTTAGCAATACATATTATTTCATCTGATATACTAAGATAACTTTAAAATGGAATAAGATACCCACACCAAATGTGATGAACATTATATAATCTGCCAATTTGTGAAAAGAAACCAGCAAAAGGTTCATTATTATTACTTCTGTAATTAATGGCCTTGGCCCAGTTATTACCCCATTCTATCATAGTACCAGGTTTCAACCTATAACTACGTATTTCATATATATTTGAACTGTTTCTTTTCGTTAGAGGAGGCCAATAACTAAATGCCAATAAATATTGCAGGTAGCGTGATCGCAAATACTTTCCATTTTCCTTAAATAATTGTTGGTATGCCTAAAAATAAATGTTTTTATGCTATAAAATGATAAAATTTCTATGTACATATGTATGTAGAATACCTCAAGATTAGATAATGCAGCTTGGGTATGATCAACATTCTCATATCCACCAGAATATTGCCACAGGTGGAGAGCTTGATCAACATCACCAGCTACAACAGTCCATGAACCAACTAGTTCCAATTTCAATTCAGACTTCTTGGAGTTTATAAAGTTAACAATCTCTTCACTGTAATATCCCAAAATACAAATATGTCCCAATATTATTTCTTAATATAAAAGAATTCTCTGTGCATGCCAATTCTGCGACATAAATAAAATGTAATATTTTTTTGAAACTTTAAAGAAAAGTGAAAGGAATTTTTGTGCATTTATTCTAAATGGATTTGAAATTGAAAGCAAATATCTGTTACTAAGATGGAAAATGTAAATTGCAAACTGAATTTATACACTCACTAATTGGTCATATATTTGTCAATACAATCAGGTCGGATGTTGTGCGTATGTAAAGCGTAAATAACTCCTTTGTCTGACAGCATCCGTGAGTGAGACTCTTTGGTTGGCTCGATTGTTCTTACAAATTGCTTGTATATCCATCCGTCGTTGATATCCTGTCGGATCGATGACCTTGCAAAAGATCTACAACACACACGATGTGGCTATTGCCCTAAAAAGCCGCCGTTTAGACTAACTTCGCGTAGTCTATACGCGAAACAAATGAAAAAAGAATCGCTCCTCAATGGTTTGGAATCGTAGTCGCCTACCGGCTGTTAAGAAATGACGGTATTTTAGTATTGCCGATCACTGTAATCTGTTGTGCGACTCTGAATCTTCTCAAAACAGCAGCCATTCTTACTGGATTCTTGTGTGCAAAAATCTCTGATGATTTGCGTCCAATCAAGATCAGAGTCCAATTTGGACAGCGCTGTAACTAAACGCGGCGCTTTCAATTATACTCTTCGGGAGATTGAGGATTAATGTTGATTTATTCTTATTAATAATCTCCATTCGCGATTTTTCTTTCTACCACAAAATGACTACCAATGACTAAATGACTACCACCGTGGAATATACTTCTCTGATAAACCACGATTTCAATCTTACAGCGCTTGCGTCTTTCGATACTATTTTTTTTTATTATGTACTGCGATAAATAACGTCGAATCATCGCTGTCTTAAATTAGTTTCATCTATTCATGAAAAATTGAAATAATTTATGCTACTATATATTATTAGTATATACATATGTATATGCTATAGAAATATATTTTACAATATCTTTATAATGAATCATTATAGTTCTTCAGTATTAACTTTCAGTTGTTTAATTTAAACAATGTGCATACTGATCCACATCAGCAATGTTCATATGTTTTGAATTTGAAATTTGTATTCATAGCTTTCCTCTTTATATATTTGGATGATAAAATTTTTATAATACATTTATATTTAATCTATATATGTAATTTGAAAAGCATTATTCTAAACAAGGTTATGTTGTATTTTTTAGATTGTATTAGAGACAAACAGAAATGTATTCATGCCCGAGCTTTTACTTGTCGCGACGTGCTAGTGCTGCACCACGTGGCCAATTCTTACAAAAGAGTAGAAATCTGTAAAACTATACCCAAATTAGCATATACAAGAACCGCATTCATTATTAAGGAGGTTGACAGGGGTAATACAGCGAGGTGACATTATCGGCAAAAATGGGCCTAAAAAGGGATTTACGGGAATACACTGTTTATATAGAATAAAATTAGAGATCGGTTGTGTTCTTGAGGAGTGGTCACAGAAACTGTATAATTTCCTTTTCGTAAAACAGTATTTGCAATGTGATATATTTTACCACAGATATTCTTACATTTAACTTCATTTCAAAATTCTTATTGAATTCTTGGCATTTTAAATTGAGATCAGGCATAGTTTCTGAAAAAATATAACAGAGATTAAATAGACAAACAAAGCACAAATCTCACAGCCAATTCGCTCGTATTATTTGCTGCATAATTAATAAATGTACCATAGAAATAATGATACAGTTATTATTACCCATCAAATAATAACGATTGCCCAGGTCTCACCGCGAGGAGGTTGCTGCGAGTGGAGACCCGCCCTACCTCGTCCCATCCACCCTCCATTTATGCAAATTTTTACTTTTATTCAAAAACATCATCCTCTTGATGCACATTTGCAAAATGTTTCGACTGTTGTGCAAACGAACAACAAAAGGAGCATTATTTTTATTCACTACCTACCTATCTACTTATCTATACATATATTTACGTAGATTTTTGCTTTTTATTCCTATCGCGACATTTTTTAATTTTAATTTTGATTACAGATCTGTAATTAATAAATATGCAATTGCATATTTGTCCTACATACTTATACTACTAAGAATATCTATCTATACGAGCGCTCGTAATTATATTAAATATTCGCTTAAATCTAACGCTTCTTAATTAAACACAGCAGTGTTTGACGATTATATCTTAATGACCATATACATAAATAAGTCCAATGAATTTGTTGATTTTGTTGTCCTCACCAGAATATTTCCTGAAATAAAACTGGAAAGGATTAAACATAATTTAAAAAAATAATGAGGCTCATGTAGCTTTAATTATAAATTTATAACCTGCCTGAAACAAACAGAAAAGGATTAAATACAATTATCGAAAATAGTACGGTTCAAATATTACCACTTATAAGAATCATTTCTCCTTTTCAATCATTTTCACCTTGTTTTACTTAATTGGACACATTGAATTCCATTTATGAACGATAGATTTCATATTACATTTCTTCCAGTCGATTATCCGATATTATTTCATACTTCCTATAAAGATATTTCTCTGTAACAGAAACTGATTAATTGAATCCAGATAAAGACAAAGAAAAATTAATAGCTGGAAAGAAGATACAATAGTAACAATAAAATTTTATAAAAGTCAGAGTGGTTGTTAATAACTCAAAATCAATTTGATACGAAATATGAATTTAAAGCAAACTTCAGTACCAAAATAAAGAGAAAGAAATTCAGAAAAATATATATTTAAGTGATTTGAGTTAAGAACATTAATTATTTCATTTTATTGTATTTAATATTCGTTCATTTCGCTACAAATAACACACAATATTTTAATTGAAACAACTGTCTTTTACTGCAATTATAGTACGTACAACCACGACTCTACTCGACTTTATTACATTATATTATTCAATACACCTTTCAATGCAAATTTATTGTAAATGGAAAAACTGAAAAGAAAATCACGAGTGGACTTTGCTTTTCAGGAAAAGAATTTGGAAATTTATAAAAGTAATTTAATTAGCTTCTCCGTAAGCTTGAAACGAAACATCGCGATCAAAAATTGAAACTGAACAACTCGAACAACAATTATCCACTACTTTTGTTTAAATAAAGTAAAATAAAAATTTAATAAGCTATCTCGAATGAACAAATATTCCTTGAAATAAATTATCACCAATCATCAAAAAATAAAATGAATTTCCATTTTAAATAAAACTTTGAATAAAGTTCTCTTTAAAACTTTATCGTATCTAATAATATCCTGAAAACATTAAATTCATATATTATTTAACAGTATTTCCAATAACCGAATGCTCAAAATTTTCAAAATTAAAAAATGGGAAGAAAAAAGAATGGGGGCATGGCAGTGGGAGGGAGGGTACTGGGGAACCTGAAAAGAAAAGTTTGACTGCCCATAAGAGCAATCCCTAAGCAAACCCTATAAAACAAACCGAAATCACACGCAACACTAATTTTAAATTTGCAAACATTCTGAACTATGACAAAACATCGGCTGGCAACGAAGGGTCTCACGCCCCCTAGACTTACGCCAGACGCTACATACCATCCACCCTGCCTGGACGTCGTAACGCCAGGACAGAGTGCACCCCTTCGCTAAGAGCGCTACCCGCCCGTCCAACACGTTGCATCCAACGGTGTCAGATTGACGGACGCCCATAGTATAGACAAAAGGACTACAGTTTAGAATATGGTAACATATTTTCATATGTTCCGTATTCTAAAGCTGCGCCTGCAAAGGCCTAGTAATGCATGGGTATATCTCCCAGAGATGGTGTTCACGGTCTTAGGCCGCGGAATCCTTGACTAGCAATGGATTCCCACCGAATGTGAGTCATAGTTACTTCCACTAATTTAATAAATGCAAAAAAGAAAAAATTTAATAACAATCGCGAATTCGTTCGCAACACTAATTTAATTAATTATATAATATGTACAAAAGCGTACGCGTGAAGGCTGCTCCATTATGCGCAACGCTAAGCTGAAAAAAAGAAAAAAAGAAAAAACGCGAACTGTAACGCAACACTACTCAAATCTACCGAATTTTGTAAGACGCAACACTAATCTAAAAAAGGGGTACAGCCAATCCAAGGCTGTACCACGGCAGCTGGTCCATAGCTGCCTTATGGACCATGGCAACTCCACTGGATCGTTTTTGGGCATTTCTAATGCAAAACGCGAATATTCATTACCGCAACACTAATTAGGAGGGAACTCTATAAACTAACGCAAAGCAATCGCGTATTTGTAAGTCGCAACACTGGGAAACAATCGCGCTAATGTCATTCGCAACACTATCTTTAACAGACATGCAATTAAAATGCAGAAAAGGGGAATTATTAAACCGTGAATTTTTCACTCGCAACACTAACTTAATTAATGATATAATATGTACAAAAGCGTACGCGTGAAGGCTGCTCCATTATACGCAACGCTAAGCTGAAAAAAAGAAAAAAAGAGAAAACGCGAACTGTAACGCAACACTACTCAAATCTACCGAATTTTGTAAGACGCAACACTAATCTAAAAAAAGGGCTACAGCCAATCCAAGGCTGTATCACAGCAGTTGGTCCATAGCTGCCTTATGGACCATGGCAACTCCACTGGATCGTTTTTGGGCATTTCATCATATATCGCAACTCTAATGCAAAACGCGAATATTCATTACCGCAACACTAATTAGCAGGGAACTCTATAAACTAATGCAAAGCAATCGCGTATTTATAAGTCGCAACACTGGGAAACAATCGCGCTAATGTCATTCGCAACGCTATCTTTAACAGACATGCAATTAAAATGCAAAAAAAGGGGATTCTCAAACCGTGAATCTTTTACTCGCAACACTAAAGCAATGAACATTAAAAAGCAAAACTCTGAAAAATCTTAAAGCAATCAACATTGAAAAGTTAAATTCTATTTTAAAGCAATGTAAGAAAGAAACGCGATATTTAAAGTTCGCAACACTAACTGAAAATCGCGATAATCATGCATGCGCAACATTAAATTGAACCGTGATCGATATTCATTCGCAACACTAAATTGAACCGTGGTCAATATTCGCAACACTAAATGGAAAACGCGATTTGCCCAAAATCATGGGGGTCACGGGCCCCCTCTTCTCCTGAAATTACAAAACTACAACTACAGGCGAGCACAGTGACAAAGTAGTAACGATAATGATTTCCCATCCTTTTTTGCAAAAGGATGCAAAATCATTAGTAGTTCCCCTCTTGAAAGACAGTTTGTCGGGGCGCTTCGGCATATAGCCTTTTCTTTCTTCGGGCGGTCCACCCACCTGAAACTTATATCTAAAGCTCGAGACTTGCAAATTCGCAAAACAAAAAAAAAACCAATCAACAAAAAAGAAAAATCGCGAAACTCTAATTGACACGTGGACGAAAAAGGACTTTATATAAGTCGTTGTTCGTGCACACGTGCCTTGCTCGAGCAGAACTTGTGCGTTTCGTGCCATCGCGATCGCGTATGACGACTTATGAAGTCGCCAAAAATTTGAAAAATTGTACAGATAGAATCGAAAGCGAACGGCATACTCCGTTCGTCGATTGTATCGTCAATTCTTCAAATATATTCCAGGTACAGGTTGATCACGCGAAATCGCGCCTACCCGACCAAGAGACTGTGACAACCTGTCCCGGCCCTACCTACTTACAATCTATCACACACACCAGAAGGTATACTACCTACCTACCTAACGCTATATTTAAAAAAGGCAAAATCACATTCTCACAAAAATTCATTCCACGACCCCCATACACTCCACCCGGGCGCAAGAGCCTAAACTAGGGAGAACGTCCCGGGACGCCTCCGTCACCCGAGTTTCATCTCACATCACACTCTACGGTACGTACCATTTTTCACTGAAATCGTCTGGCAAGGCTAGCAATCATTGCGTATAATGATAATTACAAAATTTAATTAACTACTATGATATAGAATGTTTCATAATAATGGTAATAATCATGGTAATAGTAATGGTAATAATATTATTTGGTTTGTACGTTCATTGTACATCTTGTTGAATAAAATATTATTTCAAATTAAAAGTTAAATGAAAAAGTTATTAAACCGACGCAATCCCACAGCCTAAAAACACACACACCATATGTGGAAATTACGTCGTGCACGATATACTAACACAATGCCAGCCGCTTATTAATTATTATTCTTATGAACTAGGTCATCGTGCCCATTGCCTCTACCCATCCAAGTAGCACCTGTGTACGTGAATGGGCTTTGGCAATAAACACGGAAGGGGTTAAATCTGAAAATCCTGATCTACAAACATAATTAGTACATAAACATCTAACGGGCTAATATTTCACTATTTTAATAAAAGTGACTCGACTTTGTAAATATAAAGCATTAATAGCAAATACTGAAAATAATATTGAGCAATTATGACGTAAACATGGTGCACTGCTAATATCAGCTGGCAACGAAGGGTCTCACGCCCCCTAGACTTACGCCAGACGCTACATACCACCCACCCCGCCTGGACGTCGTAACGCCAGGACAGAGTGCACCCCTTCGCTAAGAGCGCTACCCGCCCGTCCAACACGTTGCATCCAACGGTGTCAGATTGACGGACGCCCATAGTATAGACAAAAGGACTACAGTTTAGAATATGGTAACATATTTTCATATATTCCGTATTCTAAAGCTGCGCCTGCAAAGGCCTAGTAATGCATGGGTATATCTCCCAGAGATGGTGTTCACGGTCTTATGCCGCGGAATCCTTGTAACTAATTTGATTAATTAAATAATAAAAAGGATTGAGTTTAAAAACCAAAAGGATTCCCACCGAATACTAGTCAGTGCATCGTCATATTTACTCTCGCGCTGGAAATTTTTCGCAACACTAATTTAAGAAATGCAAAATTCTAATAAAAAAGAATTTAATGTCTCTTTTGCAATGAAATAAGAAATTATTGTGAAAATTAATCAAACATCCTCGGGCGACTCCCTCCTCAGAGTAAATTTTCAAGAATACGCAAAATGTGTTGAAATAGATCACTCTGATTTGAAAATCTACCCGTCACGAATTGTCTTCTTGCACATAAATTGTTCATTTTTTCATGAACGTGTAAATAAGTTAAACTTCGCTATTGAATGAATGAAATTTTAAAAAATTCTCAAATTATATTTGAAGTTATAATGTACAAAATGTAATTAAATCAATGTAATAGCATCATTAATATGTATATCCAGTATACATATTACATAATACTATCAATATTATATTGCTTTGAACCATCGCAATAATTAAGTTAAATAGTATTTGACTTCTCTCTTACAGACAAACTAAATAAAATTGTTTCGGTATTAAAATTTTCTAATTCCACAGTTAAGAACGTTTAAGAACATTTAAAAGCATTCATATATTTCATAAATATCTATTGGAATATGTGGAATTGAAATGATATTAAAACGCGGAGTGCAAGAAGACCTAGCCTGAACTAATTGAAATGAAACAATAAAAATGTTACTACTCATGGGTATAATCATACCCATGGTCACTATGCTCGTCAACCACGTATACAACCGGTAACCCGTGTCGATTCGGACCATTCGTCCTACGACATGATTGGGCACCGGAGGAACCATAAAACATGCGACTCACCGTTCGCAGATATACTCTTCTTCCGTCAGTCAAACACCAGGTAGGAGGCTGCCTTGTAGGAGAAGACGGATGTTGTGAAGAAAGCCATCAAGGATGTCCAGGAATTCGATAAAATCCAAAAATTCATCTGTAACAAAAAAAGAAGAATTACGGTTAATTTTGAAGATTATCAATTCTTATTGTAATAAAATTACATATAAAGTTTGATTTTATAAAATATTAGCAATTAAAAAGAAATCTCAATTATCAAGTGTTGAAATTGTAAATTTTAATAAAAAGCAATTAAGTAAAGTAATAAGATACTTACACTCTTTCCTCATGGAGCAACGCGCAAGAAGTCATCAGGATATCCAGGATCTCGGCAAAATCAAAAAATTCATCTGTAACAGAACAAAAAATAATTACGGTTAATTTTGCAAATTATCAATTTTTATTCTAATAAAATTATATATGAAATTGGATTTTATAAAATATTAGCAATAGCAATTAAGAAGAACTCTCAATTATCAGGTATTGAAATTGTAAATTATTCTATTTCAATTAAAATTGATTAAATAAAGTAATAAGATACTTACACTCTTTCCTTATGGAGCAACACCCAAGACTCCTCTTCAGTGGTGCACTGACTCTAATACCGGATATATCGAGCAATTAAAAAAAAAAAAATTAAAAATAAAAATCAAGATATGAAATACTAATAACGCGACCGTGAATAATTTCCGGCGAACAATTATAGAGGCTCTACTTTCGCGATGGAAAAAGAAAAATCAGAGCCGCGATGCTCTAGAAAATATTTTATAATACGAAGCAAACACTGACTCTACTTTCGCGTGATTCCTAATCGTACAAGCGCAACTCTATTCAGAGCCAATTCACCCTTGAAAAAATCAAAACATTGGTGTTCGTACAAACACTGACTCTACCGACCGCCTTGCGCGCGGCCACAACAATTCCTGAAAGAAAAGATTAGTGGGGAGGTTGGGGATGGGTGGAAATAAACAAAACAAAACCAACATTCTTCATACTGAACGTTCGTTCAGGAAATACTGTTATTACGTGTGAATGAAAATATCTGTGTTCGTGAAATATTTTCAACGAACACGAATATTATTCAAGTTGAATATTGATCCTAGATTATATTGTAATAATGAAATGTTTTAAATAATTGTTGATAATTATTTCAATGAATATTATATGGATAGAAAATCATAGTTAAATAAATATAATAGACTATTTTATTAAAGTAATGGATTTCTGTTGTTAAAATTGTAAGCACACTAATCATTGTTGAAAATTCTGTTACATCGCGATTCATAAATTGTCTAAATTCTTTTCAATAAACAAAGTCCAATAATTAATCATATTTAAACAGCATGTGATTAAAAACCGTGATTCTATTTTAATTTAAACTTGCGTCGAAAGCTGGATATTATAATATAATTACTACCATATAACAAAAATAGATTGTTTAAAATAATTTATAATTGCAGAAGAGAAGCAATCATTTGCAGTAAAATACGAATTATTTCAATTTTGTTCTAATTTAAAACAAATGTATTAAAATACTAGACAAAACTATTTAATAAAATGAAAAATTAATTATTCTTTTTCTATGAATTGATTAAAAAAAAAAAATATCTCTAATCTTTTCTTTCTTGGTACCTTGGTACCAATTATCAAAAATGCTTACAATTAACAACGACGACTCAATGAAAAAAAAGTAATAATAAATATTAATAATTGATTACAATAAATTGACAGGTTACCAATTCTTTACGAAATTGTATTTCAAACTAATATCTGTGTCATAGCGTCGTATCATGTGGCGTCTCTTCAATATCAACTAAATATCTGTAAACAAATCAAAAATACAAATTCATGTAAATAAAATGCAATCAACAACAATAAAATAATTATTATTATTATTAATAATAAACGATCAAGTTCTGTAGTTTATGCAAAATATTTAAATAGAGATAAGCATACCTGCTTATAGAGAAGGACACTCTCAACACGTCTTATCACCCCGACGTTCGCGAGAAGAATGACATGAGCTTCCTTCCCAACGAAGACCGGCAGATAACGTTCGGTGTTGTTCGGTAGTGTTCGGAAACATTCGGTATCGGCCGGCTCTGAAGCAGGTAGACGAACCGATTTCGTAATATGTATTGTAATCAATTTTCACAATTTAAGGCAATAAATTATGGAAAAAAGTACCAAAAACGAAATAAAATTCAATAATGTTTCAGAAATTATCAATATAAAAGGGAAATAATTAAGATAATGCTGTTTCAATCTGAATCTGAATTCGCGACAAGTGTAAAAAATTTTAGCTTACTCATTTCTGAAGACAACGTGGAATTGATGTCAAAAATGATGACCCTGGTCTTCTCTTCAACTTCGCCTTTTGTTCCTTGTACTTCTGATATCTAATACACAATTCAATATAATATTTTAATACTATTTAATGTCATTTTGTTACAAACGCGTGCACTCGCGACAAAGCGTCAAAGGGAAGTGACGTAAGGAGTCAGATCCTGCGTACATCGTCGATCACGACAATTCTGATTGGGCAAATGGGAGGAAGACGACTCTGATTGGTCGAAATGAGACGGCCAATTACCGTCATTGGTAGAAACTAAAAATTGCATACTTCGTAATTTTAACGGCAATAAATTATGGAAAAAAATATCAAAAACGAAATAAAATTCAATAATGTTTCAGAAATTATCAATATAAAAGGGAAATAATTAAGATAATGCTGTTTCAATCTGAATCTGAATTCGCGACAAGTGTAAAAAATTTTAGCTTACTCATTTCTGAAGACAACGTGGAATTGATGTCAAAAATGATGACCCTGGTCTTCTCTTCAACTTCGCTGTTTGTTCTCTGTACTTCTGACATCTAATACACAATTCAATATAATATTTTAATACTATTTAATGTCACTTTGTTACAAACGCGTGCACTCGCAACGAAGCGTCAAAGGGAAGTGACGTAACGAGTCAGATCCTGCGTACATCGCCGATCACGACAATTCTGATTGGGCAAATGGGAGGAAGACGACTCTGATTGGTCGAAATAAGACGGCCAATTACCGTCATTGGTAGAAACTAAAAATTGCATACTTCGTAATTTTAACGGAAACGTTACATATTAAATACCAAGGAGAAAATCGAATGATGTGTTTTTTTAGCAACATCTATCTTGGTTTAACTTTTATTTATTTGTAATTATGTAATAAATAAAGACAGATATTATTTTGAAAATAGCATTCTATGTAGTGATTCTGCTAAGAAGTATTCGATAAAATATTATTTCTGGTATATATAAAGGCATTTATATACAATGTATCGAGAAACATAATAGGAATAAGCGAAACATGAATATATCAAGGAAAATGCTGATTGAAATCACAGAATAATGTATCTATAATTGAGGGTGGAAATTCAACTTACGAATAGATAACCTTAATTAAGATCGAAAAGCTAAATCATTTTTCAGAGTTTAAAACAATAAATTATGAAAACAAAGTAAGAAATCGTCGATATGGAGAAGAATAATTAAGATAATACTACGACAATTGGAATCTGAATTCGGAGCAAAACATTTTAGCTTACGCATTTCTGAACCTTGTGGAATTGATGTCAGAAATGATGAGTCTAGACTTCTCCCCAACTTTTCCTACTGTTTTTCGTACTTTTTATACCACGAATACAATTTAATATAATGTTTTAATAGGATTTAATCTCACCTGTTACAAACACGTGCACTCAGAACGAAGTTTTGAAGAAAAGTAACGTACTGATTCAGATCTGCCCACATAGCCAATCACGACGATTCTGATGATAAGTAGCTGCCATTGGCGGAAATTTTAAATTGTGTACTTCGAAACTTTAATACTAAAATAAATGTTCAAATAATAAATACACAAAAGAAAAAGCTGAATAACGTATTTTCTTAGCTTCCTTACAATATCCATCTTGTTTAAAGATTTAGTTATTTCTAATTAACTAATGAATAAAGAGAAATATAAATTTTGCGCTGCCTCCGAAAAGGTTGAAATGTATTTAATATACTATTTAACGAGTAAATAGGTTTTATTAATAGTTGTTGGGTATTTGTATAAATGAAATAGAAATTATTTTATACTTTTTAGTACATTTTAGAAGTCGGTTGTATTTTCTGTTAAAAATTATTTTATCCTTTGAAAAATTTATATTTAATACTATTATGAAGGTTTAGAAAAATATTATATACCTCACTACGAATATCGAGGAATTATCGACGAAATACTACAAACATGTTGAACAAGAAGCTCCTACAAAACTTTTACTAATGTACAACTTTTACAAGAAATAAACAACCAATTTCATACGTTCTATTGTTTTCTTCTCTCCTACAGAGATCAAGATATCAGGACATTGAATTAAAAAAACAAAGTACATTGCTCCATAAATATATTTTCGCATATTTCTTTTCCCAATAAAGTAATGTCAAATTATTATGTATATAAAAAGCAGATATTTATATTTTATGATACATGTGACATTCTTAAAGCTATCTTCTTATACAAGGATTATCTTATATAGGCGACATAGTAATTGTATATATCTGCATATACATCTAGTAAACTTTCAACTACTGAAAATAATATGTATTTTCAGAAGTTTATTCATCTTTCGAAATGTTATTTAATGTTGATAAAATCAGGAACCGTGTTACTTAAAGAAATATTTATAAGATCTATATCTGAAACAGTATAGAAGAACCTGATTCTTCATACAAATCTTTTTAATTAACTATACAGTGGAATGATTAAATATTTCTTTTAACTTTCGTTACTGATTTCGAGTAACCAAATATTTATATTATACAAATTAATGATAAAATTTCATAAAACACAACAAAGATAAAATGTTTATAACATATTATAACATCAAAGTTTACATATGCATACACTGATACATGTCATTAGATTTAATTACTGTTTCAATGATATGTTGCAATTAAAGTATTTATGTATTACTTATAACATGTAAAATAATACTAAAATTAAATATTATGAAACTGTATCGATAAAATGCTAAAAAAAAATCTTTGGTTTGTTCTTTGGTTTTTAATGTTAATTCCTAGTAAGAATATGAATTTCTTTAAAAAGTTCAACATTAACTTTCAATAATTTTAATCACAGTGAAACCCACGTTCTTCAATTGTTATAAACCTGATTTAAGTTTACGAGATTACTTTTGAAATAATGTATATAAAGGTCCTAACATTTTAAATTTATTATTCTATTAAGAACGTTCAATATTCGAAGATATACTTCAAATTAACTAGATAATATGCTTCAGTCCATGTTACATCAGGCAGCATTGCATTATTACCTGTACTGTTTTCTTGTATGCATTTATATATTATAAAATTACCATTAAGGTTTCCACGTGTAACATGTTTTATCTCTATGCAACTTTTAAGATGAAATAATAGAAAAAATATTCAAATTCTGAAAACTCAGTACTAAAATACTGACATGTAAAATTATTACAGCTCGTTACGCCGTCAATAATTCTGCGCTAAAGAAATGTGATTAGAATATTTTTTACATAATGTTTTAAAATCATAAAAATGGCATATTATTATAAGGTCAATATAAGGTTAAAGTATACTGTTTCTTATTATGTGATCGCGATATTTGATATTTCGTGTCTTTTCCGCTAAAAATGACTACCTGCATACTCGCATGTATGTAACTCTTGACATGCTCTGTAATCAAAATGCATCTTTTATATTTTGAAACTGTCTTACTGCCAAGTCAACCGGTAAGTCAAATTTGTAACTAGTAAGACGATCAAGCGTGTGAAACGCGTCTTGAAAACCTGTTAGTAACAGTAATATGCAAATGTTGCGATTATCACTTATCTCAGTAACAACAGATTGTATGTTAATAATTACCTGTCTTCACAACATAACTCCACGATGCATAATGATTTTCAAGAAGGTATTGACATTGTAAAATAAGTTTTAACCAAACAACAAGTTTGTTAGCACTAGAATGACAAAAATATGTTTTAGATTTTTATTTTTATAAAGAGACAGGTAGAAAGATAGTTACTTACTTTAGGGATGCACAAATAAATGCTTTGAAGTGGGAGTCATAGCTTCTTTTGTATGGAGTATGGGAAGCAATAATATTCCCTATGGTTGTTAATAAGCTCTAAAAGGTTTAATTATAATACAGAAGATTGATCATTATAAAAAAATTATATATTTAAAGTACATTACAAATACCTGTTTAGAAGAAACATTCCTTCCACCTGCTAGATCTAGATTAAAACTCTGAGATAATTTCTGTGCCGGACTAGAATTATAACGATGACCGTTTTTAATTTCGTAATACTTCAGCACTAATTCCCATGCATGCATCAAATTAGAAGTGGAAGGGTTTCTTTGGGGAAAACATCCAACGAATGGTACTACACTATTAGAACGCGCATCAGACATTAAACCGTGTTGCATTAAGTCACGTATGGATGTTGCTAGATGCTTCCTTACAGCGGATGTTACTCGGACACTACAATGCGATGTGGAATCTGAATCCGAGGCATAATCATTATCATTAGTAAAATCTTCATCTTCTAAATGACGTTCGCTTTCTGCAATGGTCTCTATAACATGTTCAACCGCGATATCTAATCTTGTTCTTAAATCGCGCCAATTATGAATGGAATTTTTTTTGAAGTTCCTTCGCACTCGTTCACTGCCGCATCCTAATTGGGACACTAGGAACATATGCAACAGAACTACAACTTTCTTAACAGTGTTAAGAGTTCTGGTTTTACTTTCCTCTTCTATTGGTTTTCTTTTAAACGACCTGCTAGCATACGAAGTGGAAGTAGCAGAACCACTGGTATGCACAGGGCATGCACAAGTGCAGGCTAATGTTTCTGTGCTAACTTCTCCTTGAAGATAATTTATAAAACGCTCTAAATCTGCGATTTGTGTTTTTAATTGGGACACTAATTGCTCCTTCATTTTTAAGGGACTAACAATCTGAAACCAGTTTTAGATTTTCCTTTTTTTTTTGTTCACCTTGTTAACTCATTTTACAAAATAAAACAATTTACCTGACTTATAGCATAGTCTACTTGCCATCTTAAATCATCAACCGGTAATTTACAGAGATCATCAACATCAAAATTTAATTTCTCTTTCAAGTGATCTGAAAAAAAGTTTGTAAGTTTACAGATTCTGGATTCTGTAAAAAAAGAACATAATTTGCAGAAACTTACTAATTATGATATTCTGTCTTTCTAATATCATACTTTGGGGTAGTTCTGCATCACCAGTTTCATAGGCATATTTTTCTAAATCCTCTAATTGAGACTTTAGTTGACATATCAATTCTTTTTGTTTAGTTCTTTGTAATGCCATTTTAGACTCAACATCAACATCATTAATTACTCCAGATATCTGTTAAATTGTACACACAAAGCATTCAACTATTTTTTTTTGCTCTTATTTTATGTACATGTAAAAATTCAGGAATATAAAATTAGGATTAAGATCTATGAAATGAGAATGATAAACATATGCACTAGAAACAACTTATACAAAACGTTTTATTTTTAGGTATAATATAATTAATGTTTAATAGCAGATAGAAAAATATATCACAGATAAATAGAAAACAGAAAAATATATATCACAAATTTCTATGCACTTCTGCATATTACAAGCAAAGCGAAATTATACCATCATAAGCTAAATACATAAAACAGATAAAAACAAGAATAAAAATAATATAATAAAACAAAGATACAGTAGATTTTTGTATATCTTACACTTTGCTTGCAGGACATTGGAGAAGTTGGTGTAATTGATTTACTATCAAGTGACAAACTATGTGGAACATCAGGTATCCCTCTGAAAGCAAATTCTTCTAATTCTTTGAGCAATGTTTCCTTTTCATTTGTGGGTGCATCAACAATCTGTCTTAAACGAAATTGAACCTAGAAATAATATTCATGATGTTCAATCAATTCATTTTTAGACAGATTTTAATAAATTCAATACCTGAGCAAAATGAGTGGTTAATGCTATAAGAGATGAATTAAGCATCTCCTGCTCTTCCTCCAGTATCTTCAGCCTTTCCATATCATATGATAAACTATGAAAACGTAACATATCAATGAGATAAAAACAACATAATTAAAAGACTGTAGTTTTTCTATATTTATTGAAACCAAAGTGCTCACTTTTCCATATTGTCAACATATTTATATTCATCGGAAAAATCATTGTCACCATCGTTCGCTCCGACGGGTGCCCATCTTTCACCTGATGGTCTGTCGCTTTCATCCGAATTTTCAATATCCTCATTCTCGCAACATTTATACTCTTCGGTATCCATTTTCCTATCGTTTACGACTTCCATTTTCTTCTAAAATTCAAACTTACATTCATCAGTTCTCTTGTTCTATTCAAACGGAGACGACTGAACGTTTTGGTATCTCACAAGTTTTTCATTCCTACGTACCAGAGTTTTGCTTATTGTTACAATACATTACAACGTTCAGTCTTCTACCTTCGTCACGGTTAATCCATTAATTAACTTCTGCGCACGTGTACGACTGAAAACGTCAGCTGCGGTTGTCGATTTTGCGCTTTGCACCTGCTAGGGCGCATTTTCACATTAAATTACTTCAGACATCGCAGATGTAGGATTCGGTTAATTTTTACGATGAAAATTATATTGTAATCAATTAGGATTTATTATACACGATTGTCATACCAACTGTGCTGTGTATATACAAATCTCTGGGGGTGTCTGGGATCCCCAAAATATTGAGCTATTGAGAAAACAAAATCATGTCCAATTTTTCTGCATCTGTAGTCATTGTATGTATACCGCAATTCACCAGAGTCCATAACTGCGACGCGCAGGTTGGAAGATGGTGGGGGAACGCAGCGAGCTCTCTGCTAATCGCTTTCCACTTCGTTTGGGAGTATCGCCAATCAGGGCGAAGATGCGTACTAGAGATGCGCGAAGAACGAAAATTGGTCTTTTCGCAGTTATGGACTCTGGTGAACTGCGGTATATGTACACACTCTAGCAGGCACTCTAGTATGTATACACACATTCGCATAATATCGAACAGCTGTACAGATGTCACGATCAGTCACAGTTTCTTGTTGCGAATTAGATTCTTTCCGTCTCTTTTTCGACTTTGTTCTAATCTTTTCTACATACTTTTCCTATACAAACCTTGCAGATTAATCAGGAAAAATGGCAGATTATTTGGACAACGAAGCAGAGGAGAGTGAGGTAGATATTAGAAGGTGGAATACGCAAAGATTTTAAGTTTGATTTCGTATAACCTAATATTCTATATTACTTTAGGAAGAGGAGGAACTCGATCTTAACGAAAGGAAAAAACTTAAAAAATTGAAAGCTATGCACGACAGTGACGACGATGAAGATGATGATGGTAGGGAAGGATTTATTGAAATGTTGATACTACTAGACAGCATTTGTATATTATCTTCTTCCGGACTCTTAGGATCTTAATATTTGTTTAATACTGAATATTTCTTTCGTAATAATGCTTTTTTGTAATAGATATATTTATATTTTGTCTATTTTAATTCTTAGAAGATGAGGGAGAAGTCCCAGGGCTTATTGATGATAATCCAATTGATGATAACGATGGTGAAGACAGCGATGGATCAGAAAGATCTGGAAAGCGTAAAAAAAGTGATGATGAATTTGATGATCGTTTGGAAGATGAAGACTATGATCTGCTTGAAGAAAATTTAGGAGTTAAAGTTGAAAGGGTATATAAAATGAACAAAAAATTTATAATAAATTTATTGTATTAAATAATTAAATATCGTTATAAATTTTTCTAGAAACGTCGATTTAAACGTTTACGTAGAATACAGGATGAAGAATCAGAGGAAGAAGAAGAAAGAGAGGCAGGTGATGAAAGGGATGCTATTGCTAATGAACTATTCACAGGCTCTGGAGAAGTAAGCTTTAAAACACAATTTGTAATATGTGTAAAACTATAAAAAAATCGATGAATTAAAAATAATTTAACTGTATTTATAGGAAGATGAGGCAAGAAGTGAAGTTAGTCATAGAGGAGAAGTTGAAGCATATGATGAAGAAGAGAGTGAAGATGAAGATGATTTCATTGTGGATGGTGATGGTGTACCTATAACTGAAAAAAGGAAAAAGAAGAAACCTATTTTTTCGGACGCGTAAGAATTATTTTCATTATTAAAATGGTACATCTAAAAATTCGACATAATACTAACGTTTATTTTAATAATATAGCGCTTTACAAGAAGCCCAAGATATCTTTGGTATTGATTTTGATTATGATGAGTTTGAAAAGTATGGAGAAGATGAATTTGAAGAAGAAGAAGAAGAAGAAGATGATGACATTGATTATCTTCATGACGAGGCCGAAGATCGCCCAAGACGATCGAAAAAGCTTTATAAGAAGAAAAGTACAAGGAAAAGCATTTTCGAAGTATATGAACCTAGTGAACTTATACGTGGACATTTTACGGATGTGGATAATGAGGTAATCATCGGGAGAATCTTAATTTTATTGTTAGTATTTATAGGTGACCTCATATACTGATTTGAATATTTTAGATCCGTACTACAGACATTCCTGAACGTATGCAACTTCGTACCGTTCCGATCACACCAACAGCGGAAGGTTCCGACGAATTAGACCTCGAGGCAGAATGGATATACAAACAGGCATTCTGTCAGCCCACAATTTCAATACAAGACGCTCATTTAAATGAAGAAGCCAAAGAAAGAGCTAAAAAGGGTCCACAAACTGTTGGAAAAATTAAGAAATCTTTGGAATTCATGCGTAATCAAAACTTTGAAGTTCCTTTCATCTCGTTTTATAGAAAAGAATATGTTCTGCCAGAATTAAATATCAACGATTTGTGGAAAATTTATAAATTCGACGCAAAATGGTGTCAGCTGAAACAGAGGAAAGAAAATTTGTTGAAATTGTTTGAAAAAATGAGAAACTATCAGTTGGATGAACTTATGAAAAATCCCGATGCTCCGTTGCCTGAAAATCTTCGGCTTATTAAAGACGATGATATCGAACGTCTTAAAAATGCCCAAACTTTTGAAGAATTGAATGATACTTATCGACATTTTATGCTTTACTATAGTCAAGACGTATCAGCGATGCAAGAGAGTTTGCGTAAAAAGGAGAAAGAGAATCGAAAGAAAGCTAAAATAGAAAAAAGAAGGCAACAAATTGCAGAAGCTGAAGAAAATGGAGAAGATCCCCCAGAAGAAATTGTTGGAGATGATGATGAAGAAGAAGAGGGAGATGATTCATTGAAACAACCAGTTAGGAAAGGTCCTTACTTTATCTGTAAGAAGGCTGGTTTAGATAGTCTTGCTAAAAAGTTCGGTCTCCCTCCAGAACATTTCGCCGAAAATCTTAGAGATAATTATCAACGACACGAAGTAGACCAGGAGCCGATAGAACCTGCAGTAATAGCAAATGAATTTTGCTCAGCAATTTTTAAGACAAGCGATGAAGTACTCAATGCTGTGCAATTAATGGTCGCGATTCAATTAGCGCACGAACCATTGGTGCGTAAATGTGTTAGAGAAATGTATATGGAAAGAGCAAAGATCTCCATAAGGCCAACTAAAACAGGAATGAAAGAGATCGACGAAGGTCATGTACTTTATGGATTAAAGTATCTTAAAGATAAGCCTGTACGAGATCTTGTTGGTGATCAATTTTTAAAACTAATTATAGCGGAACAGGATAAATTAATTACCATTTCCTTTAGCGACACGATAGAAGGGAATACTACTAATAACTACATTGATGAAATAAAACAATTATATTACAGAGATGAATTTAGTAAAAGCGTTCAAGATTGGAACGCATTACGAACTGGCAGCGTTGAAATAGCTTTAAATCGTATTGTTATACCGCAATTAAAAAAGGAATTACGAAATAATCTTTTGATGGAATCAAAGGAATGCGTTATGAAGGCTTGTTGTCGTAAAATGTATAATTGGATAAAAATTGCTCCATATACTTGCGAATTCCCCGATGAAGAAGACGAGGATTGGAATACCAGTAAAGGTCTCCGCGTGATGGGTTTGGCTTATGTACCTGATCCATCTCAGTCTGCTTTTACCTGCATGGTTTCTCCGGACGGTGAATGTACAGATCATCTAAGACTACCACATTTAATGAAACGCAAGAACAGTCCTAGGGAGAATGAGAAAATGATGAAGGAAGCTGATTTATTAGCAATTAGAAATTTTATTGCCACAAAGAAACCACATGTTGTGGTAATTGGTGGTGAATCTAGAGAAGCATTAATGATATCTGCTGATATAAAAGAATGTATTGCTAACCTATCAGAAGAGGAACAATTCCCTACTATTCAAGTAGAAATATATGATAACGAGCTTTCTAAAGTTTATGCAAATAGCAACAGAGGAGTCTCTGAATTCAGAGATTACCCAGACCTATTGAGGCAAGCTATATCTTTAGCAAGAAGAATGCAAGATCCTCTGTTAGAATTTTCACAATTGTGTAGCATAGATGAAGAAATTATGTGCCTTAAATATCATCCTTTACAGGATCAACTTCCTAAAGAGGATCTTATAGAAAATTTAAATTTAGAATTTATAAATCGTATAAACGAAGTTGGGGTAGACTTGAATAGAGCGGTACTACATCCTTACACAGCAAATCTGGTACAATTTGTATGCGGTTTGGGTCCCAGGAAAGCGCAAGCTTTAATTAAAATCCTAAAACAAACCAATCAGAGGCTAGAAAATAGAACGCAGCTTATAACAGCGTGTCATATGGGACCTAAAGTATTTGTTAATTGTGCTGGATTTATTAAGATAGATACGAATAGTTTAGGAGACAGCACCGAAGCATATGTAGAAGTATTAGATGGGTCTCGGGTGCATCCAGAAACCTACGAATGGGCGAGAAAGATGGCTGTAGATGCTTTAGAATATGACGACGAGGATGCAAATCCTGCTGGTGCTCTAGAAGAAATTCTTGAATCACCAGAGAGATTGAAAGATTTAGATCTGGACGCGTTTGCTGAAGAGCTTGAAAGGCAGGGTTTTGGAAATAAATGTATTACTCTTTATGATATAAGAGCTGAACTGAATTCTAGATATAAAGATCTGCGTATACCTTACCAATCTCCGAATGCTGAAAAATTGTTTGACGTTCTGACAAAAGAAACTCCAGAAACGTTTTATGTTGGCAAATTAATCATGGCAGCAGTTATTGGAATAAGTCATAGAAAACCACAAGGAGATCAATTGGATCAAGCGAATCCTGTTAGGAACGATGAGACTGGTTTATGGCAGTGTCCATTCTGCTTGAAAAACGACTTCCCTGAATTATCCGAAGTATGGAATCATTTTGATGCTGGTGGATGTCCAGGAAAAGCAACAGGAGTTCGTCTAAGATTGGATAATGGAATATCTGGCTACATTCATGTAAAAAATTTGTCCGACAAACATGTTGCTAATCCAGAAGAAAGAGTACGAGTTGGTCAAGTAATTCATTGTCGCGTAATAAAGATAGAAGTAGAACGGTTCAGCGTCGAATGTACCAGTAAATCAAGTGACCTTCTTGATAAAAACCACGAATGGAGGTAATATATGAAATAATAATTATAATTTATAAATATCTCATAACGATATTAATTGCTTCCATAAATTATATTTAATGGAAATTATTTTCAGGCCACAAAAGGATGTTTATTATGACACAGAGGCAGAAGAGAAAGATATAAAGGTCGAAGAGGATGCTAAAAAAGCGCAGCAGAGGCAAACCTATGTAAAACGTGTTATAATTCACCCCAGTTTCCATAACATAAGTTTCGCGGAAGTTGAAAAATTAATGCAAACCGTGAAACAAGGAGAGGCGATAATACGTCCAAGCAGTAAAGGATCTGATCATTTGACAGTGACATGGAAAGTTACTGATAATATCTATCAACACATTGATATAAGAGAGGAAGGGAAGGAGAACACGTTCTCCTTGGGTCGCAGTTTATGGATTGGCAGCGAAGAATTCGAAGATTTAGATGAAATTATCGCAAGACACATTAACCCAATGTCTGCGTATGTTTCGGAACTATTAGACTTCAAGTATTATAAACCAAATGTTGAGGGTATTAAAGATAAAGCAGAAGAAATTTTGAAAGAACAGAAGAAACAAAATCCTGGTGGAATACCATATATTGTGTCTGCTTCTAAGGTAAGATTGATATATTCCCTAATATCTATATCAGAAATTTAATCGTATTTCTTCATGTTTCAGAATTATCCTGGAAAGTTTATGCTTTCATATTTACCACGAACTCGTTGCCGTCACGAGTATGTAACTATAACATCGGATGGATTTCGATTTAGGGGTCAGATGTTTAGTAGAGTAAATGATTTGTTCCGTTGGTTCAAGGAACATTTCAGAGATCCTATACCTGGACAGAGTACACCTGGTACTCCACATGGAGCTATGACTTCTAGAACGCCATACAATGGTACTCCAGGAGTCAATGGTAAGTTTCATGATATCATAAAAATGTTTAAACGTTGCAATGGTTTGTAATTGCTTTTTATAATTTCAGGAGTGAATTCGGATACGATACAAAGGGTGGCACAGAGTCTGCCACATCATATGCTACATTCCCTTTCTAAAGTAGCTAATCAAACACCACATCATTATCCGCCGTATACTCCAGGAGCTGCCAGCGTGAATAATTATGGAATGTATGGAAGTACCCCTTATACACCTTCAGGTCAAACTCCATTTATGACTCCGTACCATACTCCGCATCATACACCTCACCATCCACAAACACCTAGCCATTCTCAAGGGCCGTTCTTACAACCAATCCCTCCTGCCATGAATCCAAATTCACACAGAACCGCGAGATCACATAGATCCGTCCCTTCTGCGAGTGATGCAACGAATTGGTCAAAAGCAGCAGAAGCCTGGGCTCGTTCAAAACAGACTACTTCCAAGGAATTGTAAGTTTTCATCGTCAATAGAAACGTCGACGTTGAATTAGCAATAATAATATTATTTCTTTTATTTTAGTAATACTACTCCAAGATATGACGAATCTAGAAAAACACCTCGAAATCAAGAAGCCCCTAATGAGAGAGCGACTCCGCGTAATAGAACCCCTTCCGCACGTACGCCGTCGTATAAATCTCCTAGAGGAACACCATTCACAAATTCTAGTCCTCGCAGTATGTCTCTCGGAGATGGTACTCCTTTGTATGATGAAAGTTGGCAATAACATGTTCTATACGTAGTTAGGACAATTAGTTACCTGAAGCTATACTCTACTTTATTAACAAAGAAAGGAGATAAGTAAATTGAAACAATTATTATGTATGATTTCTTTCAATGAACATGAATTGTTCTCTACGACGTTAAGTATTTATTATGAGTACAAATCATACATTTTTCTATCAGTTTTTTTTTTTTCTAGACTTTTCTAATGAATTTTCATTTGTGGCTTCATCTAAAGACATATAATTTGTATAGACAAGTAACAGTATGAAATCAATGGAATTGATTTAATATGGACTTCATATTTCAGTTTAGTGAAACATTAGTTTCTATTGCAGATATGTTCAGGGTTCTTTTTTCACTTATACATAATATTTAGAATATTCTACCTCAATGAATCTACATTTTCAAACAATAATAATACACAGTACACCTGTAAAATATATATATATATATGTTTGCTCAATATAACAATTATTTTGTTCCACAAATCATGACATTCAAATGGAAGTACTGCCCTAATCAAGAGGTATGCATAAGTTTTATTTGTACAAGAATCAATTTGATACTAATGTATTACTATAAGAACATGCAATTTCGACATATATATTTTACTATGAAAAATTAGTAATATTAAATATATAATAAGTAAAATGTCTGTTTCTTTAACCATTAATACTTGTACAAATTTATTTAAAAAATATCATATTAATTCGTTTGATTTTAACAGTTTTCAGAGGCTAGTATTATATTTTATTGTTTACTTATTAAAATATAACAAAAAGTACATAATTGCATATTTTGTTACAATGATCTTGATTACTTCAGTGAATAATAACAGTAAATAGAAAAGTGATTAGTGAAAATGGAACTAGGAACGATTAGCTGAAATTTTAACAAATACATAGCGTCTTGGAAAAGCATCGAAACCAGTTATAACGACTCGGCCATATTTGGAACGGATTTTTATGTTCTTATGGTCGCACAACGGTCACAACTTCCCACACGTTGGTACGCACGTTACTGGAGATGCAGACACATGATTCATCCAGAATGAATCTTTTTTTTTTAAACGGTGCAACCGTATGTAGTTAAAAACATATACATATATATCTATTTTAACAAAGCATCCACTATTACACATATAAATGATAGGGCATTTATTATCCAATACTATATTTGGATTGTAGAAATTGTGCAAAATGGATCACGACAATTATAAACAAAATATATAGTTAGTTCAATAAACAATAAAATATGTAAAAAAAGAAACATTTTGCATTTGGATCTGTTAACTTTTCCATGTTAAGTGAGTGCAAATGTTAAAAGCACTCTGACGCCAAAACGTAAAGGATTAATTTGACAAATGAAGTGAAACAACAGTTACATTATACAACCATGTGTTTGTAGTTACAAGTCTTTTTGAACAATGGAAACGGTACCGGGAATGCACAACGAAAGATACGTATGACACGTTCTGTTATAATTCAGCAACGCTTCGAATTCAAACGAACCAATCATGCTGGATCGAACATTTAGCTCGACCAATGAGAGCGCACGATTCATCGAACACATGGAAGAAACTTATGTGCGTGTTGTATGTGTAACCGAATAGGTAACAGTGGGAACCGCTGGAATACACAGGGATACTTGTTGTAATAAAAGCAAGCAGCGAGTCCAGCGACCGTTCAGATCTCCTTGCATTATTGTCCAGTGTGTGCTTAGTTGTTCCTGTCACAGGATTTACGATATTCAGTGTGCAGTAATTTGCTTCTTTGCCTTCGAACGTGAGAGCAGGTAAATAAAACATTTGTCTGAAATTTGTGCCTCGTTTGCGGATTAACAAAGGGACGCTACGAACTCGAACAAAGAGAGACGCCGGTTCGTTTATTTTTATTCGCGTTTACGTATCTGATAAACGATTAAACAGTATCATCGAACAAAGGATTCGTATTCGTTGTGTTTGTTCGATGACAGTAATCGACATTTTCCGCATTCGTTTTTAGCGTGTGACTGCGGTACATTTTCTTGAATGCGATCATGCGTAGAAGTAAATCGTCAAGTTCGGTTACCCATGAGGGCGTTTGAAACAAGTTTCTCGGGGCTTTTGTTATACAACGCAAAAAGGAAATTTACTTTCATCTCGTATATATGGTAGATTCGATTGGGTTCACTTGACAGTTCGTTATTGAAGTACACAAGATAACCGAATGAATTTCAAATACAGTCTTGCTCCCTTTACGTAACTGTAAGCTGCGCAATACAATCTATCCTTTGTGTATATTGTTTACATATAGGAGATATGAGGTTTTCTCCAAATATTAACATTATGATAGAACTTTCAATGAAAAACTTTGCATATAAAAATTTAGACGTAATATATAAATAGCGCGTTGCTCCTTTGTGTACCTTCTTTGTTCTCAAAAACAAAGCTTTCCTCATTCCTCGCAATTAGATAATATAAAATAGATATTAAGACGAATATACGTATAATTCAATACATTTGCAAAAAAATTATTGATGTTTTTTTAATTTTCGCATAAAATCAAGATATATTCTTTTACAGCAACTCTGCAATGGCTACTGCTACAGAATCACCCGTCAGCAATGAATGTAAGTATGATATTTATTTGAGTTTATTCAACGATACTATTTATCAAATTTATGTAATCTGCTACACGTGCTTATTTACTATACATTATTATATATTCAGTTATAAAATATCAATTGCTTTATCAGCACCTGTAACTAAACGAATGATTGGTGTATTAAAATTATAATCATGCCGTTCAATTAATATCTTATCCGTGTATACACGACCAAGTCCAATATACAACGTCGGAATTATTGTTTTGCCACTAGTTATGTACCGAAATCTCGTTTTAAGACGAACGGATTTCATCCGCGAATACTGTACACGGTGTGATATTTGCGTTTCGATGGTGAAGCGAACGTGACAAAGGATCCTTAATTAGGAAGGCAATTTAGGTAGCAGTAAGAACACACCCTAAGGCAACGGAAAGTAGATAGTTGCCGAGAAGAGGTCAGAGCCCTCCATTGGTGTCCTCGGAGAAGTGCAGCCTGCACTTCGCCGTGGCAACTGCGGCTCGACTCAACTGCAGTGCTCGAACGCTTTCCAGTGGTTCTCAACCGCCACGACCATTCCAATAAAATTAATTATTTTCTCTTACAGATTAACAAATCTTTTTGTTTTCGACAAGGAAAAAAATATTATATCTTCGATTTTTATTCCATTTATAAAAATAAATGGATCTGTAGTGCGTCGAATGAGAACTACGATTCCAGCCAATTTCACAACACGAATAATTGCGTGCAGAACGATCGTATTGATCTCCTATTACTAGACTGTATCGCAGTATAACTTTTGTATAAGTGTCGTCTATTGATAAATAACGTCGTTTCACAATTTCAACATTGGCACGCGACTTGATCCATTCCAGCAACCGCCTTCAATTATAAGACGTACCTCAACAGTTAGATCTTCTAACATAGATTATTCACTTTTGTCATAAACTTTGAACTAATTTTAAATTTTGTAGATTTAAAAAATACGACACACCAGGTGCGTCGTTATTTCGTATACGTTGAACACCTCGCAGCTCTTTTTCTGCGCAGACCACTTCTGGTGTCGAGATTCAGGCTGCTGTTGCACACGTGTGCAAGACCGGCTCGCTGAACTCTCTCGGTTGACTTTAAACAGCGTACAAAAGCACACAGTGACATTGAAGTGCGTAGGTTAATCCAATTGCATGGCAGCCAGCGAGATATATCCAGTGAAATGTCCATAAGCATTTCCCCGGGTGAAACTCGTTAAATTTCTTCTTGCCTTAAAGGGTATGTACGGCGATAAAAAAAAAAGACACGTCGATGCATTTTTCTCGGTTGGACGGCTACATCTTTCTTTTCTTTTCCTCGCATTTTTGTTAACGCTTCTTTAGATCCAATTAGATGTAACGAGCGAGCGAAGCTCATTAAACGTTACGCGAAATCAAAATTCCGCGAATTCATTTTTTCATTCGAACGAACACGCTCCGAGAGTATTCGCACAGGATGCGCCGGGTGCGATTCGAAGATATTCAACTCAGGAAATGCATGCTTTCAATGCTCGTAATAAATTTAACGAATGTAAGGAGAGATTAGTCGAAGGTTATAAAAACCTATCGTCGATGCGGTTGCTTTCCATCATTCCGATTTCTGCGCAACATTCCCTGGTTCGTGACTAGCGGAAAAAGGGGGCGACTGCATTATTAAACGTCGCCTGTTCCCCCGGTTCGGAGTTCTGAAAATATTCCACAATATCGATCCACGTGTGGAAGATTCATTCACTTTACGGTTGTGTATCCTTCGACCGTAATGCGTCACAGGTACATTACGATTGTTCGATCGTCCTCGTCAAATGGCAAACTTTACGGAACGACGGCCTATATTTTCCAAAGCTCCGATTTCCCTTCGTCACATTGTTGCGTCGTATTCCTTTATATCGATTCCACTCGAGAAACACGGATTATCGAAACAATATAACGGAAGAGGAAACGAATGGATCGCACGGTCAGTCGGATTTAAGGACAAAGGGTGTGTCCACGAGAAGCACGCTTTCGCAACAGAAATAAACTTCGCGAATTGTTTCTCGGGGATCGAGAAAGCGACCAACTCGCTCTCAAGTCAGATTCATTCCAGTGAGACTGCATTTTTTTGGATACAATAAAGAAGATCTTAGACAATGGAATAGCCTCTTGTCCATGCCCTTAAAGTTCGACGTAACTTCGAAGGAAATTCAAGTATACTTAACACAGATACTGGAACAATTGAAGCATGATTTCTCAGCACTCCCGCTGCTTCGAGGGCGCATATTGCTAACTCGTCGGCGTCGCAATCAAGCAAGTGCAGGACCTAGACGACACGGTGAAATTTATAACGTAGGTCGCGAATTAGGGCACCGGTTATGTAAAATCTTCGTGAACGGTAAAATCGATAAACCAAGGAAAAAGTATCCGTAGAGCTATTTCGGATTCCCCTAAACTCTATTACAGTATGCATAATGAAAGGTTCGAAAAGAAATCCATCGATTGGGTATTCTAAGGCTTAAGGTTCGATGATACTCCTACCTGCGATACACGTTAGGCTTCAATTTTCTATAAACAACCTACCTGATAAAAGTCCAGTTACACCGGTACGAATGAATATTAGTCTATCCGCGAATAAATTCTTTTCATCTTCGAACCAATAACTATTTTCCATTTTGAAGGAAGACTTTGATTTTTCCTTTTAGACCTCTGCCATATTGCTCCTAACCGCTTCGGAAGATAAGGAAGAGAAAGGCAAGCAATATTAAATTGGCCAGCAGATAAAAAAATGAAAATTCGCGAAGATCGTGATAAGAAGATACGGTTCCATTGATCAAAGGAGTTGGCTAGGTGTCTTGGAAGTCTCGGTATAAGAGTGGAAGTGGTTGGGGTTGGACAGATGGTATTTTACGCCTCCAACATAGGCTTCCACACGTGCCTAGCGACCGGCAGCCGGGTCCACGATATAGGCATGTTAAGCCTGCTCGAGGTGGAGGTTGGAGGTTGGAGGTTAGCAGCAGAGGTGGAAGGGTGGCTTGTCGTCGGGTAGGCTGGTAGCGGTTGCAGGGGGTGGTTTGCCGTGGTTAGGGGCGCATAGGTGCCGGTGGGTGGATATTGAGCGACGCCGGGCGTCGTGGCGCACTGTGCGGATCAGTCGCCCTCCAGCCACCGCCCCAGATACGAGTTCAGCCACTTCCGGCCCTCTTCTTCGCTCGTCGGACGTGTCTTCTCGCCGACTCTTCTACGTTCCCTTCTTTCCTTTCTCCCAGTCGCGCTTTCGTACACGTAACCCGTCCACGTTATCTTTGTTTCGTTAAACACGGATTCCTCCTGATTAACGCAAGCACGGTCTATACGGTAAGATAGAAACATGCTGATCGGTCTCGTGCGCGACTCAGTGCTGCAGTGCTTTTGTCATAGCTGCAAGGCACCCTTGGACATCGTAGGTGAGTCTTTTATCTTCTGCTCTCTATTTCTCTCTCACTACTTCTTTTTGGGACTAGAGATGCAACCGTATTCCTGTAGAACAGAAACTATGCACAATTAGAAAGGGAGGAGTCGAATGATGGAATGTCTCTTGCAATCGGTGTTTCAATCTATTCTCACCCTTATCTTCACTTTCCAGCACAATCGTTTGTTTTATTTTTTTACTAATCGTTCTTCGATTATGCCTTATTCGAAAGATTTCGATCTGTCAAACTTTACATATTCATTTCTTTGTTTTCATCGTTATCAAGGATTTTCTTTAAATCGTATATATTTTTGAACTTGATGGTCGTATTTTTACCGCAGCCAACACAGTGATCGATATCACGCTGCTATCGTATTATCCTAGACACCTGCAGTTCGATCAATCTCCCTACCCTCTAGCAATCGGTACTCATGGTGCACCGGTGCACACATGCATGCGATCCCCTTTCGAATTGCAGGAACTTATTGCAACCGGTAAGTTTGTTTTACCGGTTGAAAATTACGTATCCAATCTAAGACTCACTTTCTTGAAATTGAAGTTGAATCGATTCTGTCTGCTCCACCTGCTGAGTAGTTGTTACGCACGTGCTCCATGGGAGAGCCTTGGCAAAACGATCGGGGTGCGGCCCAAGATGGCCACCTCCCGGTTTTGTCGACCGATACCGAGGAGACGGTTGCATCGATTTCCCGATAATTAAAGCGCAACGATCCCCGTTTCCCTGGTCCCCACGGGGGTGATACGGCACTCTCATTGATTCTCAATTTTCGAAGCGGGAGGCAAGAGGGGCAATGCGCCCTTCAAGAAGCCGAGCGGCAAAGGAAAGCCGCGGACTAAGCAGCCGAAGAAAGTAAAGTTCATCAGTGAGTATACTTAACACCTTTTCGTATCTTTTCATTTCATTAATTAACGACACTCTCGTCGAATCTGTTTTAATCATTCTCTCGACGCTCAGCTCAATTTACCACCCTCTCGAGAGTTATTCAACCTGTTAACCGGCGGTTCATTTATCAAAAGTACACCCCGTGCGTGCCGTTAAAAAGTTGCTATATTCGATAAGTTAACTCGTCGTGACTGCGAAATTCAATAATTTGTAGCGATAAAAAATTCCAAAGTAGATATACAATATTAACATGACTTAAAATTGTTAAATAATTATTCACGGTGTAGCCTTCATAGTATTCGACGATCTATAAAGAAGTACTTTCCAGTAACGAGTTGACTCGTCGCTCCTGGTTAACGGATCCAAGTCGACAAAAATTTTGCATGGGAAATCGGGTGACCTTTCGATCGATATTCCTGGTAGCCGCAGGAAAGTGCATTGAACCCGAGACGGACGAACACGAGCGGTCGCCAATATGTCGCCGGTGAATTATAAATCGACGAGCGTCGAAGAACCGTTCTCTGTACGGCATGCTGTACGCGCCGGGGTGGTCGCTGTGAAAGGTGCGTGTGCCGACGCTAGACGTCGCGGCGCCTAGAGACAATCGTCCCGTGGGCTGATCGATCCTTCCTTCTCGCGTCTCTCTGAGTCATACTTCCGTAACTGCCTCGTGTCCCGCGAGGAACGGAGATGGATGTGGATCGAGAGAGAGAGAGATCATCCTGCAAAGTGGATTGCGTCTCGACGCTGCGCCAGACTTGTGAATGTTTTTTAATTGCGACTCCACAACCCGCTCGATGCGGAGAGGGAGGCGAGTAATAATGAATGAATCCTCCGAGCGTTGACTGGTGTACGGTCGTTACGCGTATATGCAGATTTCGGATGCATTACGAGTGGCAATCATGATTAATTCATTCCGCAGACTTCGATGGAAATTCATCGTTCGAATTTTGTTTTTTTTTTCTTTTTTAATTTTGTTAGATTTTGGGTAAAGAGAAAACTGATATTTGGCGTTCGTTTGTTTTTTATTAATTTTATGTTTGAATTACTTTTGTAGCGACCGAAATTCGATGCCAAGAAAAGTCTAAGGGTGGATTGTGCTACGAGGTAATTTTGGCAGAACCAACGGTACCGAAAAGAGCCCCGTCTCCGCCACAAGCAAGCCCGACTCAACAAGTCGCTATCGAGGACAAGCTTCGAGCAGCGGAGGAGAGAAGACTTTCCTTGGAAGCTCACAAGCTCGCCGCTTTCTCCGCGAAACTTTGCAAAATCGAGGAGGTCGCTCGCAAGAAGGATGAACTTAGCGCAGCTTTCATCGCCGCGACCAGCAAGTCTCTGGACGCTAAGATGAACAACACGGAAGAGAAACGAGAAGCCCACATCGCGGAGGTGAAGAACAAACTGAAGGAACACGTTAGTTGAGGAACACCTTTCTATCCGTCTATACTTGTAGCAAATCAATATTGATTCATTGCAAACCTTGTCCTGTGCTTTCGATTACAGTTAGAAAGCGTCGAGAAGACTCGTTTGAGCCTCGAACAACAGACCGAGGAGGTCCGCTGCGCTGTTGAGGAGAAACTGAAGACCGCTGCTGCTCAACGCGATGAAAATATCAAGAGGATGTTGGATCGTCTTAAGGCGCACGTTAGTAACTCGAATTCTATACATTCTTCGAAAGGATTGTTGGATAAATATTGTTTCCATTTGTAGGAAGAGCAAGTGGCTCGTGTACGCCAAGGAATGTCCGAACGCGTGCAATCACTTGAATCCAAGATACAAGGCAAGTTGGATCAGGCTCGTGAACGTCGCGAGAACATCGAGCGTGAACAAAAGGAGAAGCTACGCAATTATGTAAGTCAGGCGGTATTATTCGATTACCATAGACTTTGGTATATTAGTTTATGGGTTTTCTATTTGGATTGTTTTGGCCAAGTATCAGGAAGGATTTCTCGCTTCAGTAGTTGTAACACAGCTGGTTTTATTAGACAAGTTTCGAAAACGCATTGAAATGCGAAGCGAATGCGTTTTCCAAACTTGGTGAAATCTCTTAGTGAAAATCCTTTCTCAGACACCCACTATCGACAATTTTACCCGACACGGGAATTTGAAATGGTCGTTTAGAACACCGTGAAGATAGCAAAAGTGCGTCAGATGGCGGATGAGTGCGCCACGAGAGAACTTCTGATGAAAAAGTTCGAATTTGACAAGAGGGTTTCTACTGCGGAGCAGAACCGACAGCGAGAGATTCAACGTCGTGTGCAGGCTATTCGCCAGCATGTAATTTTCGCTCTCTTTCTGTTGATTCAATATTCTTATTGTCACCACCCTTACCACCACCCTCACTCCCCCTCTCTCAACCATCATGAAAATGGCTTTGTTTCTATCTCCGTTTCGCTGAATTAGTTCTTCGAATAGAAGTTCCTTAATGACAGTAGGCTAGGATTGTCGTTAGAAAATTTTACTCAGTTTCGCTTCGGTCACGTTATGTTGCAGAAAACATTCCCATAATTTCTGTACTTATTTTCTTTATTATTTATTTTTACAGCATGACCTCGCATTTACGAGCAGCTACGTATCTCCTTAATACATATGTTAGCTTAGTATCAGTTAGCATGGATATATACCCTGAAACTTTTCTATTAGAATAGTTTCACCTTCGTCAATTTCAGAGGAAGTTTAATGTGCCGTTTTCTTTGTTTCTTGTCCTAAAGGAGAGGCGCGCGGAGAAGGTAAGACAGAACAAAGCAGCTCTGTCGGAGCAGTGTGGCCTGCCGGCTGAAAAGGAGACCGCCAGCTCTGGGTAAACATAATGAGAAATCATTTCATTATCGCGATCCTCGTTCGAAATACCTTTTTCACCGTTACAAAATCGAGGAAAGAGGAGAGCGGGATTCGACTACAAGCTTGCAGAGAGTCACTCGCTGAATATAGGCCATCAAAAGTTTACGTGTTTCAACTTCGGAATAAACTAAGGAGCCGCACTCGCTGTGTGCTTTTAACAGGCTCCGATTACGCTTTGTGCCATTTTCGTTCGCTGGAAGAAAATTAAAGGAACTTATTGCAAGCGATTTATAGTAGCTGAAAGGGATTTACAATCTTAACGATTTTGTTTTATAACAGTGGACGGGAGGGGAACTAAATATTCAACTAGATAAAATAATCGAAATAATTCAAAGAAAAACGAATTTATATAACGAAGAATCAATCGTTCCATTTTTTTTTTTTTGTTTCGTTATCCTTTCACTTTGTAACTTATGCAAAATCACTGCCTTCATCTAACTACACACGTACACTTATATACAGCTGTTTGTTTTTTAAAGTTACACGAACACACGTACTAACCTTTGTTTTAAAGATACGGCGTGTAAAATACCCACTTCTGTTTCAATGTGCCTACCACTTACACGATTGTGGATCTTCTAAAAGATGGCATTAAATTCTGTGTTTGTGATTGTTTGTACATGTCGGAGTAATTGATAGTTTACTATTCTTATGAAGCTTGTTTTTCAGTATATTTCATTCATTATGTTTCTTTAAAGCTATGGTGTTGTTGTTCAGTCAATTATTATTAGTTTTGAAATCAAGAGAAAAAGATCATAACGATTATCGGAGTCAGAGGTTCCAGTTTATTTGACAAAATTTTTATTTAAATTTTATTTATTTATTTTTTAATAGCTTTTGGTGTTCCATTCGTCGAATCCGTTTGCTTTCATTCATAGAGTAACGATAGAATTTACTACCGCTACAATTAGATCTTAAGTGGTAATCGCGACCATATATGTGTGTACACATACCATATATAATGATCTTATGTGTATGGTATGTGCCGACATGTAAGCACACTTATAAAAAATATATATATATTAATAGTGCTTTATACTAGGCTTGAGAAACTTTAAAAACCATTTTGTACTCGATCATTGTAATATTACTGCGCTAACTGAACAAGAACAATTCACAAAAATATGTAGTCTAATTGAATATGATAATATGATGCTTCTGTGATGACTTAATTATTTGTCAAAATGTGTAGTGTTTAAGTGAGAGTGTGAGAGAGAAAGAAAGGAGAGAGAGAGACATTTGATTCCTCTACGCTCGTACGGATACCGTGGCTGGAGGGCCTTGATATTTTGTTCGTATTATACAGGGTGTTCGGCTACGGGTGGGCATCTTGTATACCATCGCTGAAACTATCTGAAAAGTAACGATACACACTCTACTGGGGTTAAAGTTTCCATTAAACTTTCCTACTCGTAATAAAATAGGCAGCTAATGGTTCCTCAGCCTTAGATACTCGTATATATTATATATGTATATTGGGGGTACTAATAAAACGAGAGGAAACTTTTTTAGCTTTGGTCACGGTATCGTCATAAAATAAAGGGGTATAATAAAAAAAAAAGAAACCACGTCGCAGTGATATTGCAACCATCTCATACCTTACGACCTTAGGTATTGAAAACTACACGGAAAATTTTTACAAAGGGCTATTTCGCAGAAGTGCTGGAACGCGAGAAAAAAAAAGAAATTAAGTAATTAAAAAGAAAAGGGAGATTGAAAGATAAAAAGCATTTGAACGTTCTTACATCGACGAATATACAACTGTAACTTACATTGCCCAGTGTTGCGGTACATTCGCCACGTGTTGCAACGTCGAGAGAAAAATGATTAGGATGGTTTCGTTTTTCTTGTGGTTTCAACAAGCGGCGAGTAACGTCTATTTTTGCATAATTGTTGTGATCTTTTTGCAAAATGTATTTCGTATAATTATTATATAGATGCCCGACGTATGTATGTTATATGATTGTCCTTTTCGACTTACGTTGATATATAAATATATAAATTTCTACGCGATGGTATATATATAAATATGATATGGTGGTTACTGTAATTGTACGTATGGTTTCTTTGTGAGCTTTGGTAATTGTCTTTACGGTGGAGCGACAGAAGGAAATCAATTTGCTGGATAATTATAGCAAAATAAATTTCTATTCGATCGAAACAGACGTCGCGAGAAACCAGTTTCTTATTGATACATATACATATATATTGGTTGCCTTCGATATTTTTTCATTTTTTAGTTCGGATAATGTATGTTCGAAAGAGAACCTGATTGTGTGAAGTAAAAGGCCATACCTACACGTATTTCTGATCATTTTCTTTGATTCCTAACTTTGTCATACCTGGTACTTTAAATTTAGATAGATTTTCAATTTTCAAATTACTACTTCAATTAAATTCTTTTGAATTTTCAAATTATGCGGATTTACCGCTGCGATTAGAATCGATTCGAATGATTCGTGGTGGAAGTGTAACCGAATGTCGGTAAAACAGATTGTATGGAGAGTGTCTCAGTGCCTCTTCAGTTATTATAGATCCAAGAACCCCGAGCATTAATGAGATATTTAAATGTATATAAAAGAAGGTTATCAATGTACCATATGATCATTAATCATCTTTAATGTTGAAGGTCACTTTAAGAAGTGTTGTATGTAATTGATATCGTTTAAAATACACTTATAGTTTCAACATTTGATAGTTAAATTTAAAAATAGTAGGAAGGTATAGATACGTCACCGAAAATCCACGTGACGTCATAGGCTGTCGAATGGCCGAAAGCCAAAGGCTAAACGAAACAGCGAGGTAGGCTTTACAGCGGAGTAGGTAGAGGGCAAATGGCTGCCGTGCGGGTGAATAATAATGCGTAGCCAGTGTAAGACAAGTGATAAAAATCGTGACAAAGTGTGTATACGATGTTACTGAAGGGCCGATTATCGGAGAAGAAGAACCGGAGGCATCATGGGAAAAACGCCAAAGCCACAGCCGGTAAGTGAATAGATTGGTATACAACACGAAAATTTTCGAAATGGTTCGCCTGCCAGTCGACGAGATAGCCCTGCTGCATTTCTCGGTCCCTCTAATCGTTTTCCATGGTACCAACACAACATGGCTGAACGTGCACAGATTAACTTTACTACGCGGATTTTTAACTTAATAAAATACGTTCAGTAGATAAACGTATAATAGAATTTCGAGCAAACAGTGCACTGAATTTGATTACGGTTTTTTTTTTCAAATTTTACAATACAAATGTCTTGTATATTCTACTCCGAAACTGGAGCAATGTCGGGATAAACATATTTTGGAGTAAAAACGTTCTCTTGTATTTTTGTTTATAAAACTTAATCGAAGAATGTACGATTGCTGTGATATCAGCTAGCAAGGTTATGCATAAATCCATGCACGCTTGAAGAATAATTACACTTATAGTTTATAAAGTAAAGATAACGGATATAATTGTTCGCCATAACGCATTAAATTAAACGGTTGTGTGATTAAAGAAGAATAACTGCTATTTCATACATTATTGTCAAGGATAAAATGCGCTATGAAACATCTAGTGAGGTTATGCTGTTTTCAATATGGACGCCTCACGCGCTCGTTGTATAAATGCATTTCGTTTCTGTGTATTATAAGTAAACATGATTCATGGTTGTTTCTGGTACTTTATAGTTATCAGTCGGGTTTCCTATTATTCGTTATTGTATGAATTAACTAATAGGATGCGATAAGTTGTTTCGTTTAAATTCATGTGAAGCCGGAGTATGAGTAATACTGACTACATATATACACATATATAGACGTGCACGCGATTATCAATGAATCTGAACTTCGTCCCTTCGTTTGACATGCACTGTTTGTTGACGATGAAATGCCGTTGTTATCAGTTATAACCATGGTTATTTTCTGTTCTCTCGGATAAAACACTATCCCTTCGTACAGCGTTATCACATTAAAAGAAAGTTTGTCAGACGTTGGCCTTTACACATTAACTACTGCGTAGCTACTGTCGCCTTAGATTAGCTCTAATTCAAATTAATTTTGTTTTTACAAATAATCATATTGAACAAAAAACAAATCGAATTATATAATATTTTTTTAGCTGTGGATAGACATATTTACAGAAATCTTAGTGGCTAGATTCCACTGTTTCATCTTTAATTTACATGAATTTTCTGGAATGATTGCGCCATGAAATTACTATTATAAAGACACGTAACAGTAACCTGTAAGATGTTCCGCAAGTATCCACGTACAGACATTCCACGCACGACACGCATGATATTTACATACTGCGTTCCTAATATTAATAACATCGTCTCGATTCGCTTCAATTCGACGCAATATTATTATGCATGCGATAAAAAATAAGCAACGCGTTGCTTTCACTTTTTCGCCAAAAATATTATGCATATAACGTTGTCGGCAACTCTCGAATGCAATTTACAGTTCAGCATGATGGTATTTTCAAACGATAGTCCGTTTGGCGCCACTAATCGTTTCTAATCGTTTCTGACGATTTATCGATATCGACCCGTGATATCTCGTTTTCGTGAATTAATTGTACGGCACTCTTGAAAGTATTTCAATGAGTCGTGATCAGTTAGTTTAACGAATCTTTTTTTTTATTTTCTCTTTGAATCTTTCTTCGCCATCGACAAGTTACTCTCGTTCTGTATTTCGTACACGTCACACGGAAGGAGCGTGTTAGTGAAACCGTGAAAATGCATTCTTAGCATGCTGTGATAAGAATAGAGCAAGGAAGATAGAGTAAGATAACAAATAGAGGAGAGGTACGTACATGATCGTACGTAATCGAGAGGTATGTACCATATGCATGTGTGTGCATACCGCCACAGTGCCGTATGAAAACATACATCCACTACCTTACACAACGATAATTGTATAAGTGCACGTGTTGCCATGACGATAAAGACGCGGATCGATGTTTTTAACCCGGCGGAACGCATCAAGTTGATTTCGCGTCCGATACCTTGCGATATTTCTGTCTTCGTATTGCGCTTTTCCATTCTTTACCGTGCCATATGTCTGCATGATTTGATCGATTGGACTTAAGGTGTGCAACTTTTACAGCAACGAAATCGACAAGTTTGATACCGTTAACGTGCCTCTATAATTTCTTCGTATCATTTTTTCGGAACAAAAGAAAAATCGATTGAAATCTCGAGTAATCGACAATTCAGAACGATACAAAATTTCTGATTATTTTACAAGCTTTGCAAGATTCCGTGTAAATCGGAACTAGATCATTCGCGACCGTTCTTTGTCAGCCTCTTCATTATCGACCGATGCCACGAGAACGAAAAATGACCGATACTCGTTAATTTAAATATATAACAATAAGGATCGTTCACATGGAACGATAAAAAGCGCTAATTGTCATTCGAGTCTGTTAGCATATGATTCACAGGCCACGTGGCTCCAATCGTTTCTCAAGTATCTTTTTTTTCTTTTTCGACGATTTAACAGCGTGTATTTATTTTTCCAAGTGTGGGTTATTATCTGGTTAGGTCGTAAAATTTCTGCACTTCGATAACGAATTACTATAACGATCGTCTGCAGCATCTAAGGCAACGTTTCGTACAGATTGTACTGTCCTTGAAAATATCTTAACTTCCAGATAAATTCGCACGTGAACGACGGATTGCGTTGAAATCATTTTGGTCATTGACCAACTTCATGGTTTAGTTATATTATACTGTTTCTTTTTTTTCTCTACGTTCTGATAATGATAGCGATACCGTGATATCGTTCCGCGAAGTTATATAAACTTTGTTCAGCGTTAAAGTGTATTTCGTACAGGGGAACGAACCATGTTCCCCTTCTACTGGTTCCACAGGTATCCTCGAATCGGATAACGGTATCCAAAGTGGGCAAATTAAGTTGAAAACTAGTTTCGTGCTTCTATGAATTTCACGGTATGTTCGACCGATAAAACTATCGATCGTTTTCGTCGTTACGTTTATGCAGGGTGTCCCAGTAACCATGCTAAAGGAACATTGAGTAAATACTTGTGTATGTACACATCGTTCAAATGGACACTGAAGGGTAGTTAAATAATCGAAAATAATCAATCGAATTCCTGGTTGAAATTGTCTTAAGGTTCGATGAACAGTTTGTTAAGTTGGCAACAAACAAGTCTACGCTAAAGAATCCAAACGAGCGTTTTAGTACCACTGAAGTCATTCGAATAATAATTGTTTTATCGATCCATTGAGATACTATTGATATTCGAATTTTTATATAACACCCTGTTTCAAAATATCCATCGCTAATAGCAACCATCCTGTGATCGTTTCAAGATTCTTTTATTTTATTTCTCGTTCTTCCCTCTCCTACTCGGTGTTTTTATCGAATTACTTTATTGGCACGACATTTCCATATTTTTGCCGAGTATTCAAATGCGAATGCATACGCGGGCTAAATTATCATTCTTAAAAGTTGTCAAGGACCGTCCATCCGAATTCTTTCGCGTCTCCTTTTCGTGTACGTTCTTCCTCCTTGTCTTCCTCATCCTCACGGTGGTTTTCGGTTCACAGTCGAAAGATTTCTCGAAGAAATAACGGTCGATGAATCCAACGCGACGGGTGTTAAGCGACTCAAGGTCTTTGTAATGTAGTCTCAATCACCGTCAATCTACACTGATCTTAACAATTTATGGTGGTGCCACCTTCTCGAGCGATGCAGCCTTTCCCACTCGCTTCGATTCACTCGAACCAACTTGTTTCGCGTCATTCCTCACTGGATATTTGGCTGTTTTTACATTCAGTCTCATCGAATCATTTGCATCGCTATCATTTTACTTGCAATTCTCATTTTGGCCGTAACGGCAGCCATGGTAATTAAATAAAAAGAATAATTCGTAATATTTGAAAGATATATTTCTATTCCAAAAACCATTTAGAAGAACGTGTTAAGCAAGGCCGTTCTGTTCTCTACTTTTTAATTCATTTTATCCGATCGTTCGTTGCATTTCATTTGGCCTACAATTTCTGTCTGACCACAGAGGGACGACTGGCGCCGCGGCGCCCGGCACTACCGTCTCTTTAGATTCTATCGCCCTTGTCATGGTTTATCGCGAGGGGTGAAACTTGGCAGGGAAACCATGTTGATTAATTAACCCCAACTTAAATTACGTAAGTATTTGCGCGATTATTTACTTCAGGATCTAGATATGAATTTCGATAAAACCTTATTAGAAAACTTTTCATGTTAATCGGTTGATTAAAAAAAAAAAAAAGGCAACGTTATTGAGCAAGGAAATGTGTGTTGTGTGTGTG